CGACGACGTCTATCTACTGCTTACCACCCGGAGACCGATGGACAGACTGAACGCATGAATGCGACAATTGAAGCCTATCTCAGGTCCTTTTGTGACCGTACACAAACTAATTGGGCCTCCCTGTCCCCATAGCTCAACTCGCAGTTAACGGGAGAAACGCTACAGCCACTGGAATTAGCCCTTTCTTCTTAGACCATGGGTACGACATGGAGACAAACGAGTGGATAATACACAGGATACAAATCTAGTGCCCACAGAAACCCAACGGACCAAAGCTCAACAAGGACATGATATTGTGACTAAATTAGCTCACGCACTGGATATTGCTAAGGCCGAGCTCGCCGCTGCGCAGCAAAAAATATGAAGCTTATACTAATCGCCACCGTACATCCGCACCGGCTTACCGTGTGGGTGATAAAGTATGGCTTGACCTACGTAATATACGCACGGAACGACCAAGCAAGAAACTAGATATCCGAAATGCCAAGTATACAATTATTGAGAAAGTAGGCTCACACGCCTATCGGCTTAACACTCCTCCCGGAATTCATAATGTTTTCCATGTCATGTTACTACGACCTGCCAATTCTAACCCTTTCCCGAGCCAGCAAAATGACGACTACCAGCCCCCTCCCCAGCTAGTCGACGGTGAAGAAGAATATCTGGTACAGGAAATCCTAGACGAACGGTTTGCACGTGTAGGACGAGGTTTTCGCCATGAGTTCCTAGTTAAATACACCGGTTACCAGCAACCTGAATGGAATCACGCTGATGCAATGGAGGACACCGAAGCACTTGACCGCTGGCGAAAGGATCACCCCCAACCGCCACAGAAGCCGAAGAAGAAGAAGCCAAAAAGAAACCGAAAAGGAAAGCCAAATATTAGGGCCCTACGCCCCTAACATACGTCCAGCTCGGAAGTGCGTCACATGGGCAGACGGTGTCCCCACAGAAGTTGATCCATGGCGGAGCCATGGATCCAATTCCCCCCACGCTTCGCACTCCAGTCAATGGGAACACTATTGTTGGATGAGCGGCCCAACACCAAAAGCCAAAGAACCGGTAGGGAGGGGTAGTGTAAAGGGCTAGAGCCCGTTTGACCTCTCGGGCCAATGTCCCTACTGTCCCCGTTGTCCCTATTGTCCCTACTGTCCCCGTTGTCCCTATTGTCCCTATTGTCCCCCGTTGTCCCTATTGTCCCTATTGTCCCTATTGTCCCTATTGTCCCTACTGTCCCTACTGTCCCTACTGTCCCTACTGTCCCTACTGTCCCTACTGTCCCTACTGACCCTTTTGGCCCATTGGCCCTCGATCGATGTCACGTGACTCCCCACCTTGTTTGTTTACCGCTTGTTTCCTCTTCCTTTCTTCCTTTCTTCCTTTCTTCCCTTCTTCAACGATTCCTTCTTGTACATAACCTATCTTGTAGGTTCTATGGGTTCAGCCCTTGACACTATTATCCGAATTCCATGCATTGCCCATGTTATTCAGCTTAGTTTAAACTAGTTGCTTGGAAAGATAAAAGTGAACCCAGCTAATAATACTATGGAAAAAAATAGTCTGATATATATACTAACTCTCTCCAGAAAAAAGGTAATTCAAAGAGATTGTAAATATATTAAATAAGGTAAAATATATTATTATATTATACTTTTATCTTTACTAATAGATTTAAAGATTTAAAGTCTTGCAATTTTTATTAATGCAAGCCCATAGTGTAAAGAGGTATTCCTAAGTCTTTAGACTAAAGATCCAAAGCTTGTTCCTTACCAGGATGTCCACACTTGCTAGAATTTTATATTTTTAATACTTCGCCGTGCCAAGTAACTACAGTCTATATTTAACAAATACTGTATAATACATTAATATCTCCAGTTTAAGCTTAACAAGGAAGAATGGCGCCAAATTAAGTATCTGCTTTAAATTATTTAATCCTTTTTTAAATACACTACTGCTTTTTTTTTATAACAAAGAAAGTTACTATTTATCTTATTTTTAGTATTTATAATAATCTCTTTAACCACCTTAAAAGTTAATTCGCCAACTTTAATATAAAAAGGTTTTATAAAAAAGACAATACTTTATGTACTAGAAGCAGTAAAAGACAAGCTCTCTAGTTATTACAAAGAGACTAATAAAATATATAGTAATATCTTTACAATTAGCACTATTATTACTCCTTTAAACAAGCTTTAATTCTTTTTTCCACAAAGGAATGGGAGGGTGGGTGGCGTAAAAATATTATAAAAGTTTTGCAAACTACCTTAAGTAATATACTAAGCAGCTTTCTTCTTTACTAACACCACCTAATCCCCAGTCACTATCTAGAAACCTCTCTTGGATTAAAATACTAGTTTTAAGTAGGGCTTCACAGCAGGGAATTAGGTCTAGCTATTCTAGATTAAATATAAACAATGATAAGCTTATAAATTATCTTAAAAGTGGTTAGTACTGGTTAATAGCTATATAAGATTTACTGCTAATATTAATAATAGGTATAGTTAATACATCTCCGAGAGCCTTCTAGAAAAAGCATAAACGTGAATTCCTAGTATTATTTAGTCTTGCTCGGGATATTCTTGCTATCCTAGCTAGTGGTGCTGGTGTTAAGCGCTTTTTTTAACTTAGCTTGTGATATCTACCACTACTGCCGCGGTCACCTCAAATCTAGTATAATCAAAGACTTGATAATATGGATGTGTACATTAAAGTTTAAGCTTAAATAAAAGCAGTTAAATCTAATAAAAGAGTATCTCTTAGCTAGTAAGGTCGCTGCTATAGAGGAGGAAAAAGCCCCTTTACAGCTACAAACTAATTTTCAGCCGGTTAGTAATGATAAGGAGGAGGATGATTCTAATAATATTTAGACTAAAACTTAAGGCCCTCCAAGTAAGCGGCAATGTACGGCTGCTAGGGAAGGGGCTAAAAAAAAAAAACAGCTAGTAAAGCAGTCTTATAAATTAGATAATAAGACTAAACACCTATTGCCCGAGAATAACACACTGGCACGGGGTTCTAAGAGGGTTTGTAAGGCTCCAAAAGGGTTTAAGGATTATAAAATTAGTAAACCATAGTTATATAGCTTAATAAAAACTTCTAAGAAATATCTCCTGCTTTGTCCCATGGTTTATATCTAATATCCACAAGGCGACTTCCATATATATTAAAATAATAAATTACAGACAAAACATGTATAAATTATATAGTTATAGAATTAGCCATGTTTGCATTGTTTGCCTATTTATAAAGAATCTAAATCCAAACTGCGGATACTATTTACTATCCATATCGTATTGTTGCAGATATGTGGATAACAAATTATGTCCAAATCCGCGGATATGCGGATTTGGATATGCGGATTTGGATATGTCGCGGATGTTGCCCCAGCCTACATGGGCCCATACTTCGCAGTGCGATGGGGCAGTTGTTTAAAGTTGTTTCTGGCTTAGAGTAGCTGCATTGCAAGCAGTATTTAAAGCCTGGAGCTGGCACACAGCGCTGTGTAGTTGTTTGCGGATTAAGAAGTGCAGTCTCTGCAGACTGTTTTAGACCTCGCGGCATCCCCTCTAACAAGGCTATACGTACAATTTGTACATGGCTAATCGCAACATGTAAACATTTCCACGCGTATGCAGGAACCAGGGTCTGCTCAGGGCCCATTCGGGCCGTAATTAACCCGGAAGCATGCGCGTAGGTCCTAACACGGGTGTAAAATGCATACTGTCTGCGGTGGGGCACCTGTAAAATCGTATAGTATAGTAAATAGTAAATAGTATGTAGAATGGTCAAGTGGTTTTATCTCTACTAGCGCAGAGACAACCAAACCATCACAAATAGTAGAAATAAGGTTCTATACTTTTACTGGTAACAGTTTCTTTGAATACTGGTAGTTCTAGGATGGTTAAAATATTAGATTAAATCTCTCTTTAAAGAGTTTTAATGCTGTATTAAAATCTTATCATAATAGTTATAGACTACCCAACTGGTATTAGCTTAAGGCGGAGAGTTCCTAATCATTTTAGGTTAGTCTGTACAGTTGGCCACAACCTGTTACAAGTAACAACCGTTCACAACCGCTGATCACCTAGGAATGCCAGCTCTCTTGGGCATGTAAGTAGATGTAGCGATTTTATGACCGGCCTTTCATTGGAGGATTCCAATTTTCTGCTTCTGGACTCCGGATCAGTGCGCTCGACGACTGCTTTACTCAATTACTTGACTTACCAAAGCGATTGGTGATATGCAAACCCCTAGGCAATCCAACGTCATCTTTTGAAGGGTGCGGTTGATATATATCTTTCGCAGGGCAGAGGTTGATCACGTGTCATTTCAAAAGCGGCTCTTGTCATTCAGACCAATAGCTGGATCATGGTGGACCAGACGCTTGAGGGTCGCTCTACGATGCAAAATAAGCTTTAATAGCATCTTCATGCGATATATGTGGTTGTGCGCCACTATAAAGAGCTCCTCGAGGCTCCTAAAAGAGGCCAGGAACTGCCCTAACGGATGTTCATCGTGCGGCTCGAAATCCTGTGGCTCGTTAAGAACAATTTCGAAAGAACATAGCCTAAGAGAATTCCGAGAAAGAACCAAGCGCTCATTGAGAGCCATTCCCTTGTCAATCCCCGTTATTACTACATAGCAAAAGAACGCCCATCTGCCCGTACTAGCTCTTAGCGAGCGGCTCAGTTGTCCCATTTATTTTCCTGGGTGGGTCATTATTGGGATTTGCTGTGATTGCTCGGCTTACTTTGGGCACGTTTTTGCGGAAACGGACTCGACGGCCCGATCCCCAGAGTGGGGCACCCTTTTCATTAGCCCAACCATGTCATCTCTCTAAGCGCCCGGATCATGTTTGTAACTTGGTCCGAACGTACGTGTTACATCTCTTAACTAATTCATGTCTGCGGAAGAAAATTCTTTCAATATAGACACAGCGCGCCAAGCTCGTCGGGCCGCAGGCAAATCACGAAGCAAATTAATCTAGCAAAACTCGAATGATGGATCTTCACGAAGCTGCATGGCAAGGCAGCATCGTCGACATAGAGTCCGCGGTTGAGGAAGGGTGCGACGTCAATGCTCGTGACAAAAACGAGAAGACCCCTCTCTGGCTCACCGTACAGAGAGGCCATTCAGATGCATGCAGAATTCTGATTGCTCGAGGAGCTCGCGTGGAAGGGCAAAGTCCTAGCATTCTCGAACTCGCAGTCCAAGAAGGACATACCAGGATTGTCGAACTGCTGTGGCCACACTGCAAAGTGAAAAGACAACATCGTTGTTTAGAGACTGCTATCTCACTAGGCTTTCATGAAATCGCAGATTTCTTCGTCGAAACTCGAGCATTCGAATATCAGCATTCCCAGGCCAGTGATCTTGAAATGCTCAAAAAAGACGGATTCCCCAGGCGGGGTATCGCAGCTTTTCAGCAATGGGAGAGATTTATTTTTGTTAGACGCTCGGAGAAGCTCCATTTGCATCGTATTTTTTTCGACTACGCCCTTCTTCTTGCGTCGAAGGCCGATCGCAACGCTGGGCTTCGACTAGTGAATTTATTGCTTGAGGGCGACAAACCTTTGGCCGACGCGAATTGCATAATCAAAATCGACGAGGAGGTTGAGACACCCTTAACTGGTGCGGCTGAGAAAGGCAACTTGGAAATATTGGCTAGTTTGATTCAGCGTCCTGATACAAGGTTGACAATTTGTGGCAAGTATAGCTGGCCCGCTTTTCTCCATCTGCTGGCAAACTCCGACTCCATCGCCTCTGAAAAAGGCCGGGCTATAGCACACATGTTGTCCAAGGAAACTCTTCCCGATTTATTATTGAATGATGTAGGCCGTCTGGAAACTGTATTCCAAAACGTCCTTCGGCTCGGGGACGATGTTCTTGTGAAGCAAGTGATTAACCTTGTACTCGGCGCTGCAGGAACTTCCATTCTGCCGCTGCTGATCAGAGCGAATGAGACCCAAGGTCTGAGGTGGATCTTGAATAGTGACATAGCGCACGCATCCAAGCCTCCGCCAATTCTGTGGGTGTTGCTTTGTGACTTCTTCCAACGTAACCCCAGCTCGGAGGCTCTGAAGCTCTTTATTCGAGTGGCAGAATTCATGATAGAAAAGGCGATATGGGACCGAATGATACTGGCGTGCCTCAATTCATGCAACTTTTGTTTCGTCAAGCAATTCTTCTACCCTCTCAACGAGGTCCCACCGAGGGAAGTGGCAGAAGAAACATTGGCGGGACTTTCTCAGGCGTCTATGGATCAATCCCTCGTAATGGAATGGGCTGATAAAGGCTTTGCTAACGCAGCACTGTGGAGCGCCGTTCAATCCGGGATAAGGAAGAACCCAGCATTTGAAAGTCTCCTCTCATGCTCTTTTATTGATCTAGACGAGCCATTTCCGCGCAGACAGAGCTCATACACAGGAGAAGCTCATAAATTTTCACCTCAGTTATGCGGCATCTCAACTGGCGAAAAAAGGAAATTTCAGTTTAGACCTGCAGAAGACTTTTCTAATTTGACTGTGGCCCCCGGTACGCCGGCAAGCCATGCCCTCCAAGACTATCAAATGCAACTCATCTTGCTGGAGCAACAGAACAAGAGGCGATTAATGATGGCCCGAAAGGAACAAGAAGAAACGACTGTAGGGAAAAGCCCTCTGGCCTGGGCCGCGGCAAACCGAAAAACTCAGCTTGTGGAACTTCTTCTACGCACTTCGCGCGTCAATGTCAATTCACAAGACGCCCAAAAACGAACTCCTCTCATACACGCCATTGCCGTCAATGATCGGCAAACTGTGGAAAGGTTATTGAAAATTGAAGACATAGATCTAAATTTGCCGGACGTTGTCGGTAGAACAGCTGTTTTTCACGCCGCACAGAGGGGAGACTTGCATATCCTACAAATGCTCACCGAGACTCAAAGGGTGGACCTTTCCATTCGTGATTGCAACGGCGAAAGTGTCTTTGATTTTGCAAAAAGTAGCGGGAGACAAGATGTTCTAGCTGTACTTGCTTCTTGACTGGATTAAGGTTTGCATGGGTGCAATGAGTCTAGATCCCCAAATATCGGGATACAAGCCTCAATGCCAACTATTGGTTGTCAACCCCCGTATAAGAACAGGATATTGTCAAGAAAACATACAATTAATGCCATAGTTTGTTATATTGGGAATTGATTGTTCTACAAAATTCTCCACAAAGTGTTAGCGAGGAAAAGGTTTTCTTTCCCAGTCAAATTCCCTACTTGAGTCATCGTCGCTTAGGCCCTCGGCTTGTAAGCTATTTTTTGACCGTATTTGTGTATTAGAGCAACAATCTGCGACTATTTTGCAGGCCAAAGTTATTACGGAGCTGTGTAGTGGCGTCTACCTCGAAGAAGAGTTTCATAGGCGAAATTTTTAGCATCTTCAACCGTAGCTTTATCACTAGCGTGATAGTATTCTCATGGTTAAAGTTTCAAAAAAAGGAGCAACCCAAAAGCATTTACACGCTCCAGAACAATTAAAAATATTCTCTGCCAAACGATATCGTAGTTGCTATAGTGTCGATGAGAAGGATGTTCGGCATGGACGTGAGGACAGCGAACCGCTCATTGAGCACCACATAGTGTCATCAAATACAAGATATTTAATTTGCATAATTTGGTTGCCCGCAACCCAACCATGGTTCACCCCTCCATACAAAAATATATATGAGACTTGGAATGAGGAATGATGATTCAAGTCAGAAAATGGGTGAATTGACTGAGATATAGTCGTAAACGAGCTGAGAGGTGAGAGGGGAGGACAAGCGCCGATGGAAAAACAACAGTGAAGATTCAACAAATATCAGCCATATAACGCATGTCATTTCACACCTTACTGATTCTCCGCTCTTTCGTCGTCTAAACTCCCTTGTTTCTGATTTATTCCTCCTTCTCTTGGCTCCTGCAGCTGCAGCGGTCTATCGGCTCTTACCAAGCGTATTTCGACCACGTTTGACGCAGCAGCGATCTTTGCTACCATTCCACCGCCAACTATCGCAGCGGCGAGAAGAGCTCACATCGAACCTTGGGGAGTGTTCTGCAGCTCGAGAGCTTGGCTAGCTTGGCGACTTCACTTGTGAGGTTGACGGGAAGCTTGTTCTACGATATCTAGTATGTGAAGCTCATAGGGGAGTGCGACAGCTTTTGAGATGACTGATTTATATTCAGAAGACAGTAGATGATGCTCTTTGTGATGGTAGTCGCAGGCCAGAAGACGTTGGGAGAAGACCTCCCCGCGTTAGTAGCTCCTGCTTGCTTGGCCTGAGTCATAATACTGACAACCACCGTTAAGTGGCTACAAGCTCTAATATGCCTCATCTTACCCAGACTAGTCGGATTTGCTGCGTTCATTAGTCGGTATTCATGGACTGTGCAGGGGATATCTCCGCGCCACATTCCCATAGTCTTGATTCTTTTGTCAAGGCGTCACGTAAACCTCAATACTGGCTGGGTACTCGACGGTGATGTCGCTGGTGATAACAAGAGATCATGCTGTTGGCTGGTCAGCTCCCTCTTTGGATTACATTGTCAAGGATCAGTTGGGATAATGATGGTAGTGCATTAGAGTGGCCCTTTTGACTTATAATACAGCGCCTGTTCCCTCACAGAATGAACGCAAAACCCGGCAACTGCCAGAACTGAACCAAAGAGGACGGGGTTGGTCGACATCTGGTGAATGCCAAAAGTCCTTTGGAGTGTCGTCCGAGGCGGCCTGTTCGTCGCCGGAACCCAGGCTGCCGTTGCCCGTGTTTTCACTGCTACTGTTGTTATAACCTGAGCCACTGCTCTCGCTGGCACCTGTTGGCACAGAAGAATCGGTTGAAACAGCCGTAACGAGAATCAGGTCGCCTCCTATTATGAATGTCACAACATCACTGACAGGGGTCGTGAGCGCTCCGATGTTGCGCAAAGTCTCGGCACTACCTTGTGGGAACTGAGCAGGTACGTAGAATGTCTGAATGTCTGGCGGAAATCCAAAGTTGGCACAGTCATATTTGCTTATCCATTGCCCGCACTGCGTCCGGTCCGGTACCGGCATGTATGCAATGACCAATTCCTCCAGGGTATCCATCAAAAGTTCGGCGGGTCCAGTCGGGGAAAGATAGATGGCCGAATATTCTCTATCAGTACGATACTAACCAATCTAGTGAGGGGGAGCGAAGATACCTTGAGAGGAAGCCCTTAAACCCAGCTCGCTTAGTACAGAATAATATTAACTGCCCTCAAGAAACTGCATCCTCTACGACACAAGGTCTTACTCTCGATCACACTGAAACAACTGATTTCGATAAGGACGAAGATACACGAGATACACAAAGAACATGGCCTAACACTGCTAACGAAACTAAATCATCACCCTTGATTAGCTCCCCCACGCCTGAATAATATTGCCAGGGGTCTCACAAAACTTCCTCTGCAGACATACTTGCCCAGCCCAAGCACCTTAAATATGCGTCGCGAGATCCTGTTTAAAATATTTAACACGTTTAATATTGCTAATTACCCGAGTGTCTATGTTATTTTTTATAAACACCATTTTCGTACGCGGGTTTGTCCACGAAGTCCTCCATAAGCCGATTGACATTAGGCAAACTTTTCTTTCCGAGCACTCATGAAATCCCTCTCCTTCTCGTCGTTCTACCGCTGGTACGGCACCGCTAGCAGGATATCTGGGTAGGGTCCAAAACCCCGCCGACATTTATGCCTCACGCAGTGTACAGAGTATGCACCATCTTATAGCAGGATTATAAGACACAGACTTCGTACAAGATCGAGGTAATTTATCGCTTATTTACGATCATGTTAAATTACAGTAAAATCGGCTACTTCGCGGGGAAATATCCAGGACATGCCGAGGGAAATATCACGGTACGTTAAAAGCCACACCTTGTTTATCGGCATCGCTCACTCAGAACCGCGAAAAAAGATTTATCTTTGCCGACGACCGCTATTCCATCATTGCGAGAGAGAAATTTTTCTTTGTACTTAGCTTTTTCGAGACGGTGTCTCGGCTACAAGAGATTGCGCATTTGAAAAGGTCAGGACGTCCTGTGGGGCAGAGGGCGTGAAGTCCACTCCGCGCTTATGTATACCGACCGCACTGACCTCGGTCCCATGTTCAACAACACTTGGTTTATTTCCTGACCTTTCTGTCCGACACACATCCAATACATAAGGAAAGAGGAAGCCATGGCATCAGCCCAGTTCAACCCTCTGCAGTCCATCGGTGAAAACATCCATTTCTTCCAGCCCCCAGAGCGAGGTGTAACCAGCAGTCCCGCACTTATCGCACTCTGTACCTGGCTCGGAGGCGCAACGACTCAGCGCATCCAGAAATACATCACCGGCTACCGAGCCCTGTACCCCAACTCCGCGATCCTTCTCATCGCTACACGCATACTGGAAATCAGCGCACTCCCGTTCAGCGTTCTCCACGCGCGTTTGGCCCCCGCCCGCGATGTGATCCGCCGATTTGTCAGCTCTGATACAGAGAAGGAAGGCACTGATTCTTTTCTGTTACATATTTTTTCACATGGCGGGTGCAATACTGCCATTCAGTTAGCTCTTTCTTTGAAGAAGGACCCTATACACCCGCATTAGAAATTGGGAAATATCTCAGCGGTATCATCTTTGATTGCTGCCCTGGCCATACATCATTCGGACGCGCATATCAGGCGGCTGCACACTCATTGCCTCGTTCTGTGCCGGCTCAAACAGTGGGGAAGGTTTTGCTTTACCCCATTATTGGCATCATTAATGGTGTCCAGCAGACGGGGTGGATGAGTTCTGTTCGAGATCTGCGGGCGCAACTGAATGACCCCGGAGTCTTCGGGGTGACAGCTGCACGGATGTACTTGTATTCGATGGCTGATCAAATGGTTGGATGGGAGGATGTGGAGTCTCATCAGAAAGAGGCTAAGTTTAAGTTGGGATGTGCAGTTAAAGGAGTTCGTTTTCTAGATAGCCCACACTGTGCCTTGGTGAGAGATCATCCTGATCGATACTGGGATGAGATAAAAAGGTTCTGGACGGAAAGGGGGATCATGCAATCTCCTAGGTTAATGGACTCTACATCATGCGGCAGGCCCCGGAGTCGACTCTGATACTGAGCATAATTAATCATCTGGTTAATCCCCAATCATATAGGAGATGGCGCCATTATCATGAAGGTTCTTTCATTGTGTTTTCTGAAAACTGCTCAAAATCTTGATATTAGACCCAACTGTAGAAACAAGAGCACTGATATATATTTGTTTAATGAATAGCTTCTACTGGAAAGAAGTGTACCCAGGCCTCACGCTAGCATAGCTTCAAGACGGAAGCCTTGATTCTATAATAGGGAGATACTTCATTCAAGGTCTTTACCATACGTAACTACTGCTTGCTTATTCTATCCGTTGAAAAGGAAATCAAATGTTCTTTAGGCATGCATATTGCGAGCTATGGAGAAGAGTTGATCAATTGTGATCCGTTTCGACACTGTGGTTGTTTTCATGTGCCTGGTGCATGAAACCCTGCTCTGTTTCATGACTCTGATTCATGTCAAATTCCTTGATGAAGATGTTCAGAATTAAATTAAGCCCCGCAAAGCCACACATTACCACCCAAATAACCTGAAATGATTCCACCAGAGCCCGCCGGACATTGAATGCCTCAGAAGAGTTGGCCGGTAGTTGCTTCAACATTTCTACCAGTGTAACTGCATTCAACGATTGTCCCTGTGATTGATCGGCGGCCCCCCTCAGAGCCGCAGCAGAGAGGTGATTTTGGAGCTGGTTGTCGAGGATAGCACCTCCGATCGCCACGCCAATCGCCTGCCCCATTGACCTGAAGAATAAGACTAGCGTGGCGGCCATGCTAACTTCCCGCTGCGGCACAGAGGATTGAACCGCGAGGGCAATAGATGGAAAGAGCAATCCAATTCCCAGACCCGAGACAGCCTCCAGGAAAATCCACTCCCCCACAGAGGTGTTGGACTTCAGCAGAATGAGCAGGCCAACCCCGAAGCAGGTTAGGAGCCAGCCTACCCAGACTGCCTAGCGGTACCGACCTGTTAAGCCAACTACCACTCCTACCAGAATAGCACAGGGCACGACAGTCACCGTCTGCGGGAGTGCAGCTACACCAGCAATTACAGGGATGTATCCCTTAACTGACTGGAAGTATTCAGGCATATAGTAGACCAAGCTGTAGAGGACGAGGCCGTGAAATGTACTGCCCGCATAGAGGATGCCCACTGTCCAATTAGGCAGGACCTCAGGCGGAATGAGAAGGGGCCTCTTGGTGACGACTGCTGACCGTGCAATCAAAGCCTCATAGAGCACGGAGCCGATTAGTCCTACAGCACCGAAGACCAATGGCACAAGGGTATGCCAGCTGGACCAGGCATATTGAACACCACCCCAAGTGATAGGTATCAAAAAGGCAGTTATAGAAGCAATAAACAAGAATGACCCCGGATAGTCAAACAGGCGTAGTTTTTCAGAGAGTGTGCGGCGGTGATGAGCCAGCCGTAAGAAAAGGCCAATTCCGATAGCGCCAACGGCAATAATTGGTAGATTGATCCAAAAAATATAGCGCCACGACCCTGATTGAGCCAGAGTACCTCCAGTTATTGGTCCCGTGGCACTACCTAACGCCCAGACTACACTGACCAGCGCGTAGAAGCGACCTCGGTCCCGTAATGGGGCCAAATCCGTGACCAAGACAGTCGTCAAGGCAATGAGACCTCCACCACCGAGACCTTGGATTGTCCGACCAGCAAGCATAGTCGGCCATTCATGTGAAACGGCACAGACTATGGCTCCCACGGCGAATACGAGCAGCGCGATGAACATGATTGGACGGCGACCGAATGCATCGCTGAGCGTTACCCAGATTAACATCAAGATGGTAGAGGCGAGCAGATAGGAGGTTCCGGCCCAGAAGGCTTCGGTCGTTGACCCGCCCAAATCGGCGGCGATTATCCAATGTAGAGATATTTCCTTAGTTTAGACCGAGGAGCAGATATCTGGTGGGAGGTAGGTAATCGATTACTGGCAGGGCTACAGATAGTGTGGTTGCATCGAAGGAGGCTGCGAGGTTTGTGAAGGCGATTGCCCAGAATGCGAGCCAGAATCTTATACCGGGACTTGTCTTTTGAGGCTCTGGTTGTGTGTCGACGACATTTTGCCCTCCTTCAGGTAGGGTTTCAACCGGTGAGAGAGTGGACTCCATCGGGACTCGAGATTAAGCTTGACAAAGGTCAAACAGCTGCCATAAATAGAGGCGAAAATGCTTAAAAAAGAATAGCAAGCCAAATGAGGTGATAAAAAAGGCAAAGATGAACTGAGACAACAAATTCATGATTGTTTGCCTGAGATATCATTCGGAATTCCGATGTCCGAACACCGAATCAGCTTCTCTTTTGTCTGTTCAGCGTCCAGCATATGCAGTAAATAATTCGAAAAGACAATCATAGCTTCTATCGACCAACAAATTGCACCATGTCTTATTACAGTTTGAGTATGGCGTTTCTGTGTGTCGTGGCGCTCGGCCTCATCCATATCCTGGCATCTACGGTATCGACAATTCCACAGGAGCCATGGGTGCCAACGGCTTCGTTCAGCGCCCTCGAAAGACCCCATCTTGGGTTTAGATCACTTTTTCCGTCTCCGCAAGGCAGCCCATAACAGCAGATACCTTGAACAATTCCAGCAATGGTTCCAAGATTCGGATCCACCTTTGGCGTCAATCTGATGGGAGACTATGTGACCTTCACCAACGAACCGAAGAACGTGCAAGCCGTGTTGGTGTCAAAATTCAACGATTTCGAGATTGGCCAACGGCGTCGTGATAACTCCGCTGAGCTGCTGGGCATTGGTGTCTTTAACGCTGACGGCCGGACATGGGAGCACGGCCGAGCCCTGGTACGACCGAACTTCACGCGTAAACAGGTCACCGACTTGGGTCTCTTCGAAAAGCATGTTCAGCGTCTCTTTCAAGCTCTCCCGACTGATGGGACCGCGGTGGACATTCAAGAATGGGTGTTTGGAAACCCTGAAAGCTATCAAGAAGGCCTATCCAGACGCCTTTGTTCGGGCACTTCAGGTGGACCGAGCCTACCACTCGCGTATGTCATGCGATTCTAACGTGACTAGACCGAGATATGCTGACAGTGATATTTGCAGATCATATGGAGACCGTCGCACCTGAATATGTGGAGCTTCTCACCAAGCAGGGAGTTCACGCCATCGATCCCTCAGTCAAATTCTTTCCCAGTGTTACTGGCAAGCAAGTGGACCAAAGCCAAGAGCTCAGCCCCATGTACTGGGCCAAAAACCTCGTCTCTCCAGTACGCTTTTCGACAGCCATCGGGGAGCTGGTGCAGTCTCTGGCTGGCCCTAAGGCTTTCTTAGAAATTGGACCTCATTCTGCCCTGGCTGGGCCTATTCGGCAGACCCTCCAACACCATAAGTCAACTGACGAATATTTCATCACACTGACTCGGGGTAGTGACTCCCATAAGGATCTGCTGAAGGCAGTTGGTGAGGTGTGGCTGCAGAATATTCCAGTGAATCTGGCTGCAATTTCGGGCCGAGGAAGTTTCCTGCCAGACTTGCCTCTCTACCCATGGCACTACGAGGAGCCCCTATGGTCCGAAAGTCGCCTGGCCAAAGAATGGCGGTTGAGGGACTTCCCTCATCATGACATCCTCGGATCACGGGTCCTTGAAAGCACTGATGAGAATCCTAGCTGGCGCAATATCCTCCGTCTCGATGTGGTGTCGTGGATAAAGGAACACGAAGTAGTCGGTGACATTGTCTTCCCAGGCGTTGGCTACATATGTATGGCTGGAGAGGCCATTCGTCAACTTACCGGAGAGACTGGGTTTACAGCCCGCCATGTTCATATCAAGGCTGCCCTGGTCATGCACCAGGGCCAGGACGTGGAAGTGATCACTCAGTTGCAAAGGATCCCAGTCACCAATGTGGTCGACTCAAAGTGGTACAACTTCACTGTACATTCTTATAGCAAGGGAACCTGGGTTAAGCACATCTTTGGCCAAGTCCCTGCAGGATCGGATCGAGAGCACCGAGCTCCACCATTAGAACCACTAACGCGCCAATTGTCCCGACGCGGTTGGTATCGCAAGATGAAGAAAATGGGACTTGAATATGGATCGCGATTCATGGGTCTGACTGACATGACTGCTCACCCCATTGAACGCAAAACCATCGCTACCGTGGTGAATGATATCCGTGAAGGAGAATCTCAATATGCGGTACACCCTGTGTCTCTCGACTGTTTACTTCAAGCCATTGTTCCTGCCACCTTCAATGGGCTGACAAGACGGTTCCAACATCTCGGGATCCCCACTTACATGGAAGAGATCTATGTATGCCCTCCGCTGTAGCCCGAAATGGTTATTGAAGCTCGCGCCGATGAGCAACCCACGGCTGCTCTCTCAGGAAACATCACAGCAGTCTCGAATGGTCAGGTTGCAATTGACATCAAGGGATTGCAGATGTCTGCAATTGGTGATGCGGCTGATGCCTCTGGCCAGGATCCACATGCCGCAGTCGAACTGGAATGGCGTGAAGATATCAATCTGATAAATGATGCTGCCAGACTTATTCACCCAGCGAAGGACCGAAACGAGATATACCACATGCTGGATAGGTTTGCCTCGGCCTGCATGATGAATACTGTCACCCGCCTTCAAGGAGTCGAGCCAACCCGGTCGCATTTGAGTCATTACCAGAAATGGATTGAATCGACTGCAGACCTAATCAAGCTCGGCAAATACCCTGGACTTCAGCCCGGGGATAAGATCGCGCAGGCCTCGGACGTGGAGCGGGTTGATATCATCGAGGATCTATATCTTTCTCTCCTGCGTACGGATGCCGACGCGACCGCGACAGCCATCTATCGAATCTGGAAAGAATGCCAGGGCATCTTCACTGGTGAAACCGAAGATCTTGGACTCCTTCTGGAAGATGAGGTTATACATTCGTTGTATGACTTCATGCAAAACTCGGAATATAGGGTGTTCCTCGAGCTTCTCGCACATCGGAAGCCAAACCTCAGGGTATTGGAGATTGGTGCAGGCACAGGAGGCACTACTGCGACGGTTCTTCCTGCTTTGCAGTCGCTTTATGGAGAGCGAATGTACCATTCATACACATACACCGATATCAGTGCTGGATTCTTCTCAGCAGCAAAGAAGCGATTTGAGAATTACCCCGGAATGGAATTTGCGACGTTGGATATTTCGGAGGATCCACTCGCCCAGGGCTTCGAAGCAGAGTCCTTTGATCTGATTATTGCCTGCAATGTAAGCTCAGCGAACCAAGATTTCTAAGATGTGCTGCGAACAGAAACTTCCAGGTGCTGCATGCGACGCCAACTCTTCATGACACTCTTGCGAATGTGCGCAAGTTGCTCCATCCTCTGGGTCGCCTCTTCCTTCAAGAATTATCGCCAGGTAAGATATCTCCTTCTTCCGGTCACTGATTTTTCGATGAAAAGGATTTCTAATTTGTCCCATTAGCCACAAAATGGATTAACTATGTCATGGGTGTTCTTCCGGGATGGTGGTTGGGGGAGAAAGATGACTGATACCCGGAGCCGTATATCACTGTCGAAAGGTGGGAAGCCCTGCTGAGCCAGACTGGCTTCTCGGGCATTGATTTAGTGAGCTACGATGGATACCTGAACAACAATATTATCGCCAGGCCAGTGGCGGACACGAAACGACCAAACCGCATCACACTACTACATTCAGCTGAAAGCCCTTCTGCCGCAGCCTCCATCAGCCAACTTCTCTCCTCAGCTGGCTTTGGTGTTGATCTCTATGCAATTGAGAGTACAAACACACCACCCCCTGCACAGCAGGATATTGTGTCTGTTTTGGACCTTGGCGGGCCCTTCTTCCATAATTTGCATCAATCTTTATTTGAAAACATCAAGGGACTGCTTTCACACTTGCAGCAGACGGACAGCGGAATCTTGTGGGTTACAGGAGCTAGACAGGTAGGCTGCCGGGACCCCAGGTATGCAATGGTTAACGGAGTTGCACGTGTCATTCGCACCGAGATGAACCTGGACTTTGCGACATTGGAGTTGGAGAACTCCGAGCAGGAAACTGTTGCTCTAGTACCGCAGGTTCTGGGAGGGTTCCAGCGCGCCGCACTTCTAAGCAGAATATCAATACAACTACAGAGTGGGCCGTTGTCGGACAAAAGCCCCTGATCAGCAGATACCACTACATTCAAGTTGCGGAGGAGCTGAAGAACAAGGGGTTTGCTGACAACTCCACCGTCAAGAAGCTGGAGCAGACCAGGCCCGGTCTTGTTGATACGCTGTGCTGGAAGGAAATATCAGTTTCCCGTGGGCTAGGTGAAAACGATGTTCTGGTTCTAGTCAAATATGTTGGGATGAACTTCAAAGTATGTGCAGATAGGACGCTGCGGGGGGTTAGATACACTGACTATGATTTATAATTAGGATGTTCTCATCAGCACCGGAGTTATCACGAGAAATCCTCAATCGGTCGGGGACTAGGATATGAAGGAAGTGGCCTCATCCTCCAGGTGGGATCCGCCGTGCACAAGCTTTCAGTGGGAGATCTAATTATTATGAGCTCAAGTGGATCTCTCACCACCACCCAGCAGCTTGATCAGCACCTCTGTGTTAAAATGCCAAATTCCCTTACCTACGAAGAAGGTGCTACAATGTCAGCGGTCTATTGTACCGCGATTCACTGCCTCCTAGACGTTGGTGGATTGCGGAAAGGACGGTCTGTTCTGGTTCATTCCGCAAGTGGAGGTGTCGGTATTGCAGTCTTGTACATCGCGCATATGGTTGGCGCAGAAGTGAGGCTTCGTCGAACCTGTTAAATGAGCATCAGATCGTTTTCGCTGACTGGATATGTCCTAGATTTATGCTACAGTTGGAAGTGAGGAGAAGGTCCAATTTCTCATGAGCACTTTCAATATTCCGCGTCATCGTATCTTCAACTCTCGCACCAGCGAGTTTCTTCCGCGCGTCATGGAGGAGACAAATGGCGTGGGAGTTGATGTAGTGCTCAACTCCCTTTCGGGAGAGCTTTTGCATGCTTCCTGGAAATGCACTGCAGAGTTCGGCACTTTCGTCGAGATTGGCCGGCGTGACTTTGTCGGCCAGGGCTTGCTTGGCATGCAACTATTCGAGCCTAACAGGAGCTTTGTCGGGTTTGATCTTCTTCTGTTCTCTAACAAGCGACCGGAGAAAATCGAAAGGTATGTTACAGCGGGTGCTGCTCCGTTGAAAGCTGTGAAAGACTAATCCATTCTGTGTAGCATCATGACTCGTGCGATGGACTATTACCGAGCTGGCTTTATTCAACCCATCAAGCCAACAACCACATTTGATGCTGTTTCCATTGTTGACGCAATCGCTACATGCAGCGCGGACAACACACGGGCAAGATTGTCATTGCCATGCCAGAGAATAGTACAGAGCTGCCAGCCGAACCATCACGGCAAGAATTGGTTCTGCGTCAAGATCGGGCCTACCTATTTGTTGGTGGACTGGGTGGCTTGGGTCGGTCGATTGCAACTTGGCTTGTAGAGCATGGGGCCCGCCATCTTGTGTTCATGGCACGATCGGCTGTTAATATCCCTGATGATGATCCATTTGTTCAAGAGCTAGCAGTCCTTGGATGCACCACTACTAGAATATCTGGTGATGTTTCTAAGCATGAGGATGTCCTTCGGGCTATTCGGGCATCTGGAAAGCCTGTTGGTGTTCTGCAGGCCTCCATGGTGCTTCGGGTAAGTCATACGCGTCCAAAAATATACATCCCTGGCCTCCTCCCTCCGATAACATGCTAACAAATACCCTTGCAGGACAAGTCTTTCTTGGATATGAAATGGGATGAGTGGCAGGCCGCAGTCCAGCCTAAGGTACAAGGAACATGGAATCTTCACCGCGCGCTCCTCAGCGAGCAGCCGGAAGAGTCCCTGGACTTTTTCTTCCTCTTCAGCTCGGCCGGCGCAATGAGTGGCCAATGGGGACAGGCTAATTACAATGCTGGCAACACATTCCTGGACGCCTTTGTCGCCTATCGGCATTCCCTCGGGCTCCCTGCCTCCACAGTCAACATTGGCGTTATCCAGGACATTGGATACGTCAGCCAGAATTCAGAGATCCTAGGCTCCCTGCGCTCCACAGCGCAGTATCTCATGCGAGAGCCTGAGCTGCTTGAGTCAATTGAGCTCATGCTCCATAGATCTTCGCCCACAGAATCAGTTGCCGATCAAACTCTGAGCCGCTATGTGACCCGGTCGCAAATCGGCATCGGCATGCGGTCCACGTTGCCCATAGATGCGTCGAACAATCGAACCATTTGGCGAAAGGACCCACGTATGCTGGTCTATAGGAACGTCGAAGGGCAATCCGGACCAGTATCGTCTTCCACCGGGTCCGATCAAGTTCTGACCCACTTCCTTAGCGAGATTGGCTCCAACATGACTATGTTGAAAGCTCCCGAGTCGGTGGAGCTGCTGGCCGGTGAAATTGGCCGAACGTTGTTTGGGTTTTTGATGCGGGCAGAGGCCGAAAAGATTGATTTTGATGTGCCGCTTGCCAGTGTTGGAATTGACTCGCTCATCAGCGTCGAGTTACGCAACTGGATTCGCCGGAAAATTGGTGTGGAGGTTACCGTGTTGGAGATTGTGCGGGCAGACAGCGTGAGGGATTTGGGTGTGGTTGCCCAAAAGAAGTTGGTGGAGAAGTATGAATCTCGTATGTAGATCGTCTACTCTCCTCTTACGAGATGACAAGATATGCTAGATATAGACAATGTGTTTGAATTGCAAGCCGTTTTTCTATAGCATCGCCACCAAATTGGAATAATTTACAATCTTAGGTGATATATGCTTCTACTCTCTCTGCAGTTAAATTTATCCACTATGATGGTATTCAACACCAAAAGATTGGATTGGCCCCAGTTCTGTCCTCAGTGTCAGGTTTCATTTTGACCTTCATATTCTCATACGAGTGGCCTCGAGCCGTCTGTCCTCCATGGAATATCAACTATGCCTCCCGTCCTGTGCCTGTTGAATGGTTTTCACAGACAAAATTTCACCTCAGGTTCTTTTGATTTTTAGAATTGAGTATTTTTACCGCTTCTTTCATTACATTTATTATTTTTAGCGCCGTGGAATTAACAACACGGGTAGTTGTTTGCCATGAATGCGCCACTTTGAAAGCGATTCCCGCTCGCCGTGACGGTGGCCGTTGCTGCCCAGCAATCCTGCGCACCAGTCGCCTGATCTACCATGAAGTCCTGCGAGAATGGTACGGGTCCACCCAGTAAGAAGTGGTCCTTGATACCAAATATATCTTCTTCTACGGGCGGGTCATTCCCCCATATACGCCAGTTCCGTCGACTATCCGTTACGCTCACTCGATGAAACTATGCGTATCTATCCAGGGCACACCGCAATACATCCACAGTCACTCGACCCTGGAACATCTTCTGGGCTTCCAGGACCGAATAGCCGTGTTGGCTCGTCTGCTGTCGCTGTCGATTACAATATCTCTGCACGGGGGCCGGAGTTAACATCCCACTTTTGTTGAGTCTGTGCAAAACGCCCACAGGGATGCTGGAGCTGCTGAGCTGGAACTTGGGCCCACTACGATGCCACGTCAAGGATCTGAACTGGATGCAATACGAGCTCAAAGAGCAGATCTATGGGATCCAAAGCGAGGAGTCCGGACAGTCTTACACCGAACTTCGGTCGATTAATGTTTGGGTGATATGAGGTTGGAAATGCAATGACCTGGACGGCGACAATGGAACATGAAACCATCTTTATAGTTTTAGGCTTACAGGGTCCGTTTACGTATCGTTTCATCATATAGCTGGACGCTTTCCACTATCGACATATGTATCTACTATGAATTGATCAGCTGTTTTCACGACTGGGCTTGTTTACCCATGGAAGGACGCTACAGCTTAGCCAGGATGTCTCCTCCATCGTTAGATACAGTGGTGATTTCATCGGTCTAGTAGTCCGGGTTGAATGTGATTTTATTTAAAGGATTCAAACGATGGGTTCGGCGGAACAAACCTTCGTAGACATGGCCGTCTGATCTACCGAGAGCAGTAGTATCCACGTTAGAATCTTCACCCAACAGAGTCCATCCCTAGTCAGAACCAACCTATCCAAAAGATAATCAGAGATAGCCCATGCATCGACCAAGCAAACCGCATGCGGTCGGATCGCTTGCATCAGGCGAAGAATACGATCCGGATGGTCGTCCAAATCTTCATCTGATACAGCACCAGCGCGGGAGCACAGGTATGTCTCAGATATACGTTTAGGATACGAGTCGTCGTTGACGGAGGAATAATAATGTTCCCGAATAAGGATAGGCCTTTGTATCACAACGGGGTTATAGCGTGCATGGCACTAGAGGTGGTAAGGAGGGCGCCTGACAGTGGTTTACAAACCTCACTCTGCCGTATAGCAACGGGTTGGAGATGAGTGTTTATCTGCCACCAATATAGTTTATCATTTGCCTTGCTATGTAGCATATCTGCGGAATGGCTGAGTCGAGACTTTCACCTCTACGAATGAGAGATGATAACTGTGGTCTTTTTGTATCTATAGGTCAATATTACCGCTTTCGATGAGTGACTACGTTATGATTGTCGTTGATATATCTCTTCCTTGAAGATGGATTCTAGATGCGGCACAGTAATTAGTGTACGTTGTATAAAGACATGCTATTATTCTCTCCACCGGTTAGCAATCAAAGTGCCAAACAGAAACTCTCTCTTTCAATACATTTACAAGATGTCCATTCTGCTATCCTGATTCTAGAGCAGACCAATAGCGGCGATAACGGCGGCGGCGGCAGCTCCTCCATATTGCACGCCCGCGGCAACGCCGGCAGCCTCGGCAGCCTCGGTGGCCTGAGGAGAGTTGAGCTTGTTGACATCAGCGGTGACAGTCACCGCACGGTAGGTAATATCGTCGCTGTCGATGGAAGTTGCGGTCGTCCAAGAGGTCGAGGTCGAGACGCCCAATGTGCTAACCTCAATGCCCACACTGACAGAGCAGGAAGCGCCCTGGGTCGAAGAAGTGATTTTGCAAGCCTCCTGCACGGTTCCCGTTCCTTTGATTCCACCGGCTCCTGTTACAACAACGGCGTTCATTGTAAATTCAGACGGGCCTTGTGTGACAGTGGCAGGAACAGCGAGTTCGCAAGCGTCCGAGTCGTCCACGCACTTAACTTGGTATGTTGTGGCACCGGCATGGACGTTGATAATGCTGGCCGCTAGGGAATGAGGCGCGATGGTGACCTCTCCGTCGGGGTAGAACATTTGGATCTCGGTGGTCTCTGCAGCGGCAGCAGCGGTGATGAGGCTGCAGGCCAGGAGGAAGGTCTTGATTGTGAACTGCATAGTGTTGGGCGGACTTTTGTTGTTTGCTGTTCCGAGGATGGGAGATGGGAGGGGGATGCAGAGAGTACGGGGACGTCTTCTCGACTAGATTTGGCCCACTGAGAAAGAATTTTCCGCCTTACGAGGACTGCACAGGGTGCATCAGGGCTAGCACACCCGATCTCCTGACCCTGCGGTTTTGCGGTGGAACATTCCTGGTCCTACCGTTACTAGTACACCTGGGCTGTGCAGCCCTAATACTATTACGGCAGACTAACAACACAGTTGCCATTCAAATAACGAAAATAACGGGGCTCTGCTACCATAGCCAGCGGTAACTGGGTCCTACTGGTGCAGTCAACCCTGCATGTGTTCAGTCCGAAGGACAGACGACGCCACCTTACTCCGATATTTCGCTTAACCAAATGCCATGGCGAGAGGACCAGTAATAAATAACATCAACTCGCAAAATTGTGCGTCATGAAGAATACAAGCACGTTATAGTGAGGGCAAAGTAGTTCTATCAACCCTAGGGCTTTGGGGGTTGACGGAGAAAAAATTCTCTCCTACCAGGCTTGGCAATGATTAATCCGAACATTATCGATTTGATTACAGTGATTTGGGTAAGATTTGTATTTTAACCTTACCCTATGCTTAAATACAATAAAAGTTTTATATATTATAAATAACTATAAGAATCACATATTTTATAAGTAATATAAAAAATTACAAAGAATTAGCTGAGTAATAAGGGAGCAAATCTTGGGGATAATTATCCCGGATAATACAAGTGGGGCTGATTCCTGTATTATCCTGTATTATCCAGGATAATTATCCCAAGGTTTGATCCCTTATTACTCAGCCAATTCTTTGTATTTTTTTATAATACTTATAAAATATGTGACTCTTATAGTTATTTACAGTATATAAAACTTTTACTGTATTTAAGCATAAGGTAAGGCTAAAATACAAATCTTACCCAAATCACTGTAATCAAATCGATAATGTTCGGATTAATCATTGCCAAGCCTGTCTCCTACACTGCTCCCTTCCAGACATCTTTGGGAACTTGGAAACAGATCTAGTGCAGGGATTAGTAGGCCAGCCACAGATCCTTTGGAAGGCTAGACCCTGCGCTAACACTTTAGCGTGTGTTCATGCAGAAACTTCCATGAAACTGCTCTGGCTACATATTATATAGGCTTACTTAGGCAGGTTTCTCTACAATAAATTAGTTAGGGCTGAAAAAGGAATAAAGCTTGTAAATATTATTCAAAAGAAAACGAGTTCTCTTTTAGTATAGAGCCAAATCAGAGGCAACAATTACGGAGTAGCTTGCAAGACGCTGCACCTATTCTTGAACGCGGGAGTCTATTTCATACCTGTCCAACGCACCGACGTAGCCGTAAAGGAAAAAGAAAGCCCGAAAGTTTGCTGTTCGTCAACCCTGCTGTTCTGCTCCCAGCGTCGCCAAACATTAACATCGCCAGTGGGAGTATATCATATAAAGCTACAGCGACAGGTTAAGTGTGTTGGGTTTGTGAATTGAGTTCCCTAACCTATATACCGAAGACTTTTCGTCTTAGAGACCTTTTTTTCTCTCCTGTACAAAGAGGTGTCCACATCGGTCTCCGTTGTGGTAATATGGCACCTACGCTGTCAAAACAGAGTGCGAAGCCGGAAAGATCAGTGCCATTATTGAGGTACAACCTCCCGGAAGCGACCTACTTCACAATAATCCGATCATTTATTCGCACCAATTGTCCGCCGCGAAAGATAGTTTGCAGTCATCGTCCAGAGACGTCTTTACAGGTGTTATGCCCATTTAATAACTGATATCTATCCTATCCTACTCCGCTCTGCAAAATTCGGGCACATCACTCAGCGGATGCAGAATATGGAGTGGATTGATCCACATACTGGAGGGGAACACAGCTCCCCAAGAGGTGTGGATTCTTACAGATTGGTAGTGCACTCGGAAGGATTATCGCCAAAGCGTGACCGCTTCAGGACTAGGTTCCGACGGAGGTTTAGTTAGATGAACTAAGTGATTAGTGATTCTCCGACGGACTTAGAAACTCCACGGTATTCTTGAGAGCAGTAACCATGACTTTAAAAGGGTTGTGGATATTACAGCTGCGATTGAACTGAAAGCTTTGAGACGGAGCTATCACAGCCATCTTGTATACTATTAACCAGTGTGCGGACAAGACAGCAAACATCAAGGGCATGGGTGTTTACTATAGGAGTCGTTGGTTGGTTGGTTATATTCATACGCTGACACCTCGCCTTGTCGGCGATATGCAGGCAACAACTATCCCTATCTGTCTTTCCTCAAGCCGTACATGTGCCACTCCATAAGAACGAACTTTGAGCCTCGTCAAGGTCTATCGTGGCCTCCGTGCCGGGGTTCCCTTCCTGGCGGTCCCCTTGTCCCGCGGCTGCGAAACCTACTGGATGCTTCTGCAAAAGCCAGCACAGCTCGAAGAGTGCTTTTTTGTGTAGATTCCCCCGAGCCGTCTGCTTTCCCCAGACGGCCCTTTCCCCCTAACATAACCGTGACATCGTTCATCGCTTCTCCTATGTCCTTGCGTAGATTCTGTCTTAGAGCCCGCAGTTTCGGGCAGTCGATCAGTACATGCACCACCGTCTCTTTAGCGCCGCATTCGCATTTGTCATCTTCTCGAAAGCCATATTTTTGGCCATAGGTAGCCAGCCACGAATGACCAGAACGCATCTGCATTAACAAATATGCCTCGCCGCGCGATAAGTTGCCGAACAGTCGTAGGTTATGGATAGACGGAGGGCCTGGATCGGTCTGACGCCGGTGCCCACCTGTTTTCGACGTGTTCCATTCCCGTTCCCATTCTTGGTGGATTTGGTTGCGGATTCTGCATCTCTCGCGAGACAGTAGATGGCGGAAGGGATGTGTTTCCCTTAGGCCCACCGCCTCTTTGGCAAGATGGTCGGCTGTATCGTTGCCCGGGTCGTCGCAATGGCCGGGGATCCACTGGAGCCGGAGGGGGATTCCCCGGGCGGCCAGTTCCCATGCCGCTCGGAGAATCGCGTGGATGATGCGTTGCCCAGATTTGTTGGATGGATTCTTGATGGCCTGTAGTCCTGACATGCTGTCGGAGAGGACTGTGGCTGGTTGCTGGCTATGTTGGCTTTTGTGCGCCAGCTTGAGGACCAGGCTGATCGCATAGAATATTCCGATAAGCTCCGCGGCATAGACCGACCATTATTCCGTCGAACCGACGCAAATCTGTCTTCACTGTCAAGTTATCGTCCAAGGCTATCGCTGCCGCTCCCAGCTGGCCGTCGTGTCCCGATGCGTCGGAGTAGACTACTATCCCCGGCGTGGCACGCAGGTTTCGAGCCTCCTGTTCAGCTGTCTCTCCGTCTAGATTGATGTAGATCTCAACGAAGGCATCGGGTTCCCAGGGTGGTAAGGGCTTCGGGTCGATCGTCTCAAGGTGGTTGAGGCGACCCGGGGCCATGACTTTCATGGTTTGTGCCAGCGCGAACGATGCCTGTGATCCCGCATTCTGACTCCGTCTTTGGGCTCTTTGGAGGACTTCCCGGATCGGGTGACAGCTGGGGAGAGTATGTAGTCTGGCGATGACGTGTTGGGCTCTCTGCTTGAGGCGTAGGTGTGTTGGAAGCACAAAGGATTCGACTTCTAACGTCGCGGTTGCTACCGTTCTGAATGCGGACAGGATGCGGATGAGTGCAGCTCTCTGGACTGTGGCGAGAGCCCGGAGATGTGTTTTGCCTTTCAGTGGGCTGTGCCAGACCGTTGATGCGTAGTCCATAATGGGGGTGATGCAGGCACGGTATACCTGTCTCATTTGCGCTGGCCGGAGGTGCCGTAGGCCGCACATCGCCAGGTTTACTTGGGTCGCTCTCTTTACGGCACTTTGGACGTGTTCTTTCCATCTGAGTTCGCAGTCGAACACTACCCCGAGCAACTTAGCCGTATCCGAGGGCTTGATCGTTCTGCCTTGCATGATAATCTGGCCCTTTCCCTTCTCGCTACTCTTTCTCGTGATATAGATGAGTTCCGTTTTCTCTGCTGCTTCAATGCAGGGGATATCCTCTTCCTGAATTTTTCGTAGGTTTTCCTCCGTCGACCGGCCTGCCCTCCAACGGAAGTAGTCATCGATGAAAGCAGACGCGCCTCCGTGGAAGTCGACCGGTTGATCAACGAGATCGGAGTTGAAGAATGCGATGAGGATCGGTGACAGGGGTGATCCTTGCGCTAGCCCGGCATTTGGTAGGGGCGCAGTCTCTGTCTCGAAGTCGTCGAATCCAACATTGGCTGTCCTGTCTTTGCGCTGGTCGTACGATACGGCCTAGTTGTTATTTGGTTTGTTAGCTAGTATATGCCTTAATACTCGCACTTCGCAATGTTGTTTTCCCCTTTATATAGTTTGGCATGTCCGTGGTATCACAATGATACTTACTACGAAACGACGTCTACTTTTATTCAACCTCCTTCCTTTGCAGTGGGATGCAAAAAGTATTTAGAACGCCCCAAGATAGTTAGCGTGATTTTATTCGACCGCCTTCTGTATTCAATAGGATTATGTATTACTAATACATAATGTATGTAGTTACACTAATTGACAAAATAGGATATATACAGTAGGCGGTCTAAGTGGATTAGTCTAACCGTTTTAGGGTCTTCTAAATACTTTTTGCATCCCACTCTAGTTTGTGATTTTCGGGCTTTATCAGCGCCAAGAACCTCGTGTCGGAACATTATAGACCCGATCGTATGGTGACTAACCAGATAAAAAGTCTGTGGTATAGTTTTATATCATTGGCCAAAACAAAGTTATGCAGGTCCAGCATATATATTAGTAGAGTTGCATTCGGTGCGGATTCGGGCGGCCGGAGGAGGGTCAGCACCGCCCGCTGCGGATTGCGGTTCCTTATACAGAATCCGCAACCGCTGCGGTTTGGTGCGGATTCGGTGCGGTTTATAGTGGAAAATCCGCAGCTTTACTACATAGGTAAGCTTAGCGAGCTTACAAAGCATACTAATCCAACTATGGTTAGATTCGGTGTGGATTGTACTAACCGCACCGCATCCGCAGAATCATATCCTTAGTAATCATAAATTGAGCTGAAAATCATCATATTTTATATAATAAATAACTTTGAATTAACAAATATATAGAATAGGAGCCTTAGATAAATAGTATAAGGTAAAAAATTAGCAATTTTTAGTGTGGTTAAAGAGAAAACAGAATTCAGCATATTTGTTAGGAGCGCTCGGAAGCGCGATAGCTAGATCCTTAGCTAAGATGCTTAGTCAGGTGCGAAGTGTTTATATTCGCACCCGCGGGCCTGAACTCCTGAAGGCCAGCGATTAGTTCTGCAATATACGTGGTCCTATCTTCTCTCCCATATAGACACTCCCTTTCGCACCGTAGCGCCCCATTCAGCTCGTTACCAACCCCCACGCATAACAATATTACCAGGAAAAATACACTATATGTTGAAAACAGGATGCCTAAGGCACCTTCGGGTATCCTAGTCCTGAAGCCATCTGACATATCACACGCAAGGGGCTAAGGGGCTAAAGGACATGTAGACATAAGGAAGCGTTTATCTACGCTCTCTCTCCTAGATAGTTGAACATACTCACCATGCGATACTAGATCGCACCGATAGTTTTAATACACTATCCAGTCACCGCTATCCTAGCACCTCACGACATAGCTTCTTCCCCGAGATTCTCAACACTATAGATATATATATCTATGTGCGCATATATGCATGGATAGTAATCCCACATAGCTAAAGATATAACAAGTAGTTACTAATCCAATAAGAAAAAGTAATTAAAAAGATAAAATAATTATTTAATTTAGTGATAGTTAGATTAATATTACAATCTTGCTTATTATATTGTCGCAGGCTATGCCTGTATATTGCTTGTTTTCGCCTTCGCTGCAATCAGCGCACATAATTAGTCCGCTTATTACAGTTATATAACCCCTTGTAGTATAAGAACACACGCTTCTTTACCTTCTTTTTCTTAGCAATTTCTCTTTGTATATATCTAGTTATTAGATAGCAAGGTGTTTCGCCCCTTTACATACATGGCTAATTAAGTAGATTATAGGTGTGTCACCAATATTACAGTGTGCTACTATATATTAGTACTTTCTATGACCTTAATATTTTAACAGCAACATAGAGATATAATAAAAATAGAAGAATTCCTTGATAAGTTATATTTCAGAATGCTTATATAATTGAATTTGAATTTTTAAGATATTTATTGACTTATAATACAAAATTATTTTAAATACCACTGTATTCAAATGTATTTTTGAAATAATGAACTAGAAATCCTACAAGGATCTAGGCTTAGGATTTATATGTGTGCTATTGTACTATTATATGTGACAGATTTTAGGCCCTCTTGACTTGTTGTTGTTAAGATGTTAGGCTTATAGAAAGTGCTATTTTAGATGCAATACAGAGGCTCGCAGCTCAGTGGCCCGCGCAGCTGGTGGCCGTTATTCTCACTAAGAATTACCGGCCCCCAAATGTCTGGCCCTCACTATTGTAACTATGTGGGCAGCATGAGACGATGGCTTTCCGAGTCAGCCTCGGGCTCAGCACCCCACCAAAGCCCCTGGAGTGCCATCAACGGCCGACTTGAAACACATGGGTCATAGTGATTCCTGACCAAAAAAGCCCCCAGTCGTAGCAATTGATGGAACTAGGATTGTTATCCACACACGATGTCACCTGGGGGCGCCAAATATGATCTTCTACGGCAGATCTGGTAGAGTCGCCAATAGATAATCAGAATCAGTTCTAGAGCCATCCTTAGAACCAGCTGCATAACTAGGTGTAGTTGAAAACTGACTTTATGTTCTCAAGATCTACAATTACAACGAGTTGAGTTTAAAAAGTATTGCTATATTCTTAGGGAGAGGTTCTCGATAGTTGTCTCTCCATCTACCGCAGTCCTAATCGCTCTTGTTACGTCCATATACGTCTGTTTACAACTAAGTGGGCTTCTACGGAGACCTCAGAAAGCAGCGCCCAAGCCCCCACTATCCCTGCGCAAATGGGCGCCTTGCGCATAGTGTGATATCATATCATGGCGTTTCAGACTATGGAAAACAATACTCTGTAAACCAACAATGAGGCGGGACTGGGGCCAAAAGTGAACTTCACAGGAATTTATCCCAGGGGAGACATTTGGGTGTGGAGAAGTATCATAACATCAATAGGAGTAATTCTCACGCATGGCTTGGTTGTTGACATCTGGGGCTGTTTTGGGAATTATTCAATGTTGATTACATGCAAGGTACACCCATATAAAAAAATTTAAATACTGCTTCGATGCCCATAGAGGACAATGCCCATAGAGGACAAAGCATTCAACTTCCTCTTCATCTCATTTTCTTTGTAAGATTTTATATATCCCTTGTTATATAGCATTGTGTTCAAACGCCATCATGATGCTGCCTAAGCTCCTCTCACTTCTTTTCCTTTTTATCACTCTGGTATTTGCAAATGATGAGGCAGGTTTGCCAAAACTAGGTGTCAAGCGAGATAATTCGGTCAAAGGGACTAAAGGACATAATGATCGCCAATTTGTTTGGAGCTCGATTGTCACGTTGGAGAATGGGAAAGAAGGACACGAATTAGTTACGGACGAGCAAATGGTTGCCCTTGTACACAACGCCAGCAAGGAGATGAGAGAGCAATGGAACCTACGCGATAATTCCGAGCTACATCCATCGATTATGACCGCCCTCCAAGTTGGCGAGCAAGTCTACTTGGCATCGTCGATGAGGGGTGATTATTCATTTATTTACGAATACAAAACGAAAGACAAAGGAGGTAAAAGTGGGAACGGGGAAATCCGAAAGAGTGTGCCCGCTGAGATCAGGGACGCACTCCATGATGCCCGATTGGGAGCAGCCCCAGCGAGAACCAACTCCCAGCACAAGAATGATGCCTCCTGTGGGGAGCTCATGGCTAGCTACACCTATTTGCTGAAGAACCACGGGAAGGGACTGAGAAACAAACTTCCAAAGCCCCGTACAATCGCCTGGCTTTACAGCGCCACTGGTGGAGTTACCCAAGCCGACAAGCTTTGGGATCCCTGTGGCACAGGAGATAAGGATCAATGGGGATGTGATGCGTTTTGCAATAAGATGGGCTTTAAAGTTATTCCTACCAGCACTGAGGAAGAAACAAAGGATTTCCCTAAGATTTCAAACACGCATCAACAAGAGTTAATGACGAAGGAGTTGCGAGCTGAGCTTGATCAGAGCAGGAAAGAAATAGAGGAAGAGAGAAAGAAGGAACAGGCTAAGAAGGCGGAGGAAGACAGGGAACGGAGGAAAAAGAAAGGAGAAGAAATAAGAAAGAAGATGGAGGCAGAAAAGAAGAAGGAAGAGGAACAGAAGGGCAAACAAGGCCATAACCAGCATGATAAGGACAAGCATGGCAAGGACAAGGATGACAAGGACAAGCATGGTAAGGACAAGCATGGTAAGGACAACCACGGCAAGCACGGCAAGCACGGCAAGCACGGCAAGCATGGCAAGCATGGCAAGCGTGAGACGGCGTGGATAGCGTAGAGGGAACATGTAAATATTTCAAGTGATTGAATTTTTAGATAATCTGTTTCTTATCCTCTGTTGTGATAAATATAGACTTCCTACCAATACCCAAATCCCTTTAAGGAACCTTAAATTGATAATCCGGTAACATTTGTAGAATACGAACTGTAAGAATGTGATTAATTTTGCCTCATATGTGGGCCTCTTGTGTCCACAGACCCGGAGATAGATAGTCAAACACCAGCTGCAGCTCGATTCCCACCTGAGCACATTCTACCTGAAGCTCTGCGCGTTCCTTCTCCCAGCCTTTCGTCCCAACTGGAGAACCCATGCTCTGCCGAATGGCGACACGCTTGAGGTTGGGTGAATGTGAGCGCAGGTCAATCAGCAAATATCGTACACAGTCATGCAATTTAACCTCACCACTCCATGTCCCAATCACTTCCACGTTGTCCCACTGAAGACACAACTCTTCCAGTGTGGGTGGCAAGAGGCTACTGATCTTTTCGATATTCACAGGGTCCTCGTCGTCCATTCCTAACAGGAGGGAGATCGGGACTTCTGCAGACCGTAGACGCGGAAATTCCTTTAGAAAGCCTTGGAATAATTCTCTCGACCAGTAATCTTGGCTGTCAAAATAATACTCCCACTGACTATATGGGTAGTACTCTAGCCCAAGTGATAGATTTTCCACAGTCTGACTGACATACTCAAGACCTTCAATGATGTAGTATGGATTGTTCAGGAGTTCTTCATCGTGCCATCGATATGCTAGGCCTAAATGGAGAGTCTTTAGAGTGCTCATCTGGGACAGCAGATCTGGCACTTCGTCCTCTCTAATCGTTGCTCGAGCGAGGACAAGTGTCTGTAGTTGATTGAGATTCGCTTGTGGACGAGAACGTTCCGTAATCACCTCCTGAAAGCTTCGTAGCCAGATTGATAAAGATTGAATAGACGGCAAATGGAACCACGCCATGAATTGATTTGGGTCACAGAGAGGGTAACCAGGGGTTGTATCAAAGCTATTAAACAAGGGATTAAACTCTTCAGCTATGGGTACGTTGCTACCATAATCCACTGTGGCCAGAGAGGTGAATCTTGACAATAGACCTTCCGGGGCAGAGAAAAGGGCATGCTTCATCATCAGTCCTGGAAACCCTGACTTCCAGACAAATGAGTAGTCAAGCCGAAGAGATCTCAAGTTGTGTAACTGGGATAGCAAAATAGCGACAAAGGCATAAGGATTGCCGTTTTCAAGAGCCTCATTCCATTTCAAAGCATCTGGAAATTTGGCGTACTTGACCAGTACTTGGGCGAGCTCAACCACATCGGTATAACCGACAGTCTCCTCCTTCATGTCGCATTTAACTTTAGCATCATTCCAGCTATAAAGAATGGTGTTCCTCGATGGAGAAACAATGGTGACATGCTGTATTAGCAAGGCTAGTTCCGGGTTCTTCAGAATAGTTCGTAACAGCTGTAGAATGCGCGCCAGGGGCACCGTTTCCCATTCCCAAGAGATTCTATTATAAACCAAGGACAGGAAAGATGAATGGAAGTCTCTGCATACTGCTAAAACTGACACAATGTCATTTGGTTCCAGGAAGTTCAGGATGCCCATCCAACACTCAGTGGGCAAAGAAGTGGACATACTGGGTGATGTTAGTGGAGCACGGAGGATATATTATCAATCACTTACTTTCGCATGTGTGGTAATTGATTAGCATCCATATTAACTATCACTGGTATTCTTGATGATGGAAGTTAGAGGATTCAAGTCAAAGCGGGTGCTGCAATTACATAAACTACGGCCCCGTAACTCTGTCAACATGGTTTTGACCCACTGTTGATGCCTGCGGCACCAACTGAGGCTGCTGAGCAGTGCGCCTTGCTGCGCCCCGATTGTGCCCCATATAAATGGAATTAAACTGCGTATACATCGTAAGCATGCATAGCATTGTCTCAAAGAAGGCCACGGTGCTGGTTGTAGGATCAGTTTCCTCTTTCGCACAATGTGAATGGTCGTCAAATGGGAGGATAATAATGCATTTAACATTGCGCCTAGTATTACTTTTTTTTGACTAATTGCAAAGTTCTATATGGTTTAGGGGAAGCAACGCTAGTTCAACTCTCAGTGGAAAATTGTTGATGTCCTCCCACCTAAGACCTATAGCATACGTTGCCGTCGCTTCTTTTCGCTGCCATATTACAAGAGATGCTGAGCGGATGGAGGTATCGTCAATAGTCCAAGGCTTTTGTGCAACACTAAGTGCCCCAGATAGAAACTTGGAATTGCATTTTTTTAGTTTGGTAACATAAAAGCAGTATTTCTAGTCAACTGTGTGTCTTTCCAACAGTTCATGCGGGGACTACAAAGTACAATTTTCAGTGGATAACTCATGGAGAAATTTTGCAGCTCTGCTGCACTTAGATATATGTCCCTGGACATATAAGGCTGCTATAAGGCGAAGCGGGTGGAGTCCGTATTTGATGCTGGCCTAGCTTGAAGCAGTTTTGCAGTTTTATAACATTATTTTGCTCTCAAAGATTAGGTACAACTCATATAAATAGGTTTTCCGCTCGTTATACATTCATTTGATCTTCGATCATAAATGAAATGCAGTCTCCACACCAAGCCACCAAAGCATCCCGTTCGGCCATGGATTCCATACACTGTCAGGCCCTGATCTATCCCCGGAAGTGCATAAACAGCGCTATCTGCCCCACGAAATAGCTTCAACTCTCTCTCCCCTCAACTTTCTAACCCAATTTTCTCCAACACACGACGACTGGCGCATTCACATGGAACAAACTCCAAAGACACTACTCCTAACTTACTCCGAGCATAGTCTATCAGCCTAATCGCTGCCTCAATGGCATATCCTTTGCCACTTTCCTTGGGAGAATATGGTAAATCCCACTCCAGGTTGAGTATATTCATTTGGCGGCTCGCCCAGGAGAAGACTGCCTTGGACATTGGCGGCGAAGCTTCCCTACACATATTTGAGTGAGGTTTCTTCGAAGACGCAGCCATCGAGGACGAGGGCTCCGTTTTCTACGCCTCCTATGGATGGGAGATGCTGGAGGATCGGGTGATACGCGTTGAAAACCGACGCGCGGCACCCGAGGATCCTGGATAGCGTTCACTCCTTGCAATTCTTCTTGCAGATCAGTGTAAATAATAAGAACCCTAAGAGCGATCCGGCAAATCAGCAACATCAACCAACATGACTGGTTCATAGTCACTGACGACGCGAGTAGCAGTGCCAGAAGCACTTTGAAGTGTGTCCGCTATAACAATGTTTAAGCATTTCAGAGTCCTCGTGGTCATATTGGCCCACCGCAAGACAAAGCTATTAGCAAAGGCATGTACATATAAGCCTATAAAGTACAAATATCTTAAGAATGTTAGTTACGTGTATCAGATTTGCTATTTTTTATACCTGGCTCCAATATTTCACAGTGGATAATGGGATTGGGTCGGTCGGGACCGCCGACCTCAGTCTATTCAGCTTATTGCCCCGCCATGACGGTTGGGTCACCATCCACCCAGATAATGTATACTTTTCAGGTCTTAATCTTCCAGAAACTGGCCACCTTGGCCACATCGCACAGATGGAGACCGCCTGAGGTGAACTTATTTGGACCGACCTCGAATCCCTTGCCGCCCTTGCTCGGACAAATGTGTTGAGCCAACGCAGAGCACATTACTTTGGGCGTCGTGAGGATTTCAATGGAAATACATAATTATTCGACTGGAAGTGGGTCGCGTCGATCTTGGAGACGCGGTCGAATACGGTGGATTTGAGCTCCGCGATCCCCCTGGCAGACGAGCCACCCAACTTTACCGCGATATCCTCCGTAATGGCCGAAAGGAGGAGGGCCTAGTCAGCGTGATCGAAGGACAGGACGGCAGGGTAGAGCGCGTCAGCAATGACTTCACACTCGGTAAAAGCGCCGTCAAGCTGCGCCGGCAGTGTGAGGGTTACTAATGATTCAAGATCAGCAAGTCAACCGGACTTTCGAGGACAGTCTCAGCTAGATTGATGGTTTCTGAGCAATTTTGTTGTTTGTAGCCTTCAACCGTACAAACAGCAGATCAATGGCCACCACCAGGACAACCTCCTTCCTTCGCTGAACAAAGCCTTAACTCCTATCTCCGGTTAACTCCTATGTCAATGTCGAGATGCTATCTGGAGTTCTTGTAGGGTTCATTTCTTGACATATTTCTAGTATATAGAATCTATTATAGAATTAGGAAACTTATATTAAGCTAAAAGGTAAATTTAGATTATAGTTATCCTATAAGATAAAATATTCTCTGGAAGGATGCACTTTCTAGAGCGGTTGACTAATTATTTCTATTATTTTTAAAGCACACCCTGGCTGCGGTACAGGTAGCTATAATGGCATTGCCTCTTAAGGAACTCCTTGAACGTTTATAGAAATATAAAGTTGCTCCCATATTCTACTTTTGCCCGGAAATTCAATGCCTCTGCTTCTCCTGATCGGGGTGTTCTGCCTATATCCCTAGCGAAGAGAATGGTAATAGCATTCTTTATGACTTATTTCGCGGAAGTGTCGTCGCCGGAGTGCGATTGGTCATTATTTCACTTGCTAAAATTTTGGCCACTAGAAATTATCCTTTACAAAGCTGGCATGTTGCTGCCTAAAAAGGTCCCGCTGATGCTCGTATTTAAAAAATATACCCCGCCAGCGAACTGGGACAGCTTGAATACCAGACATCCATCTGAACATTACCCATATCTACTTTCTTGTCCATTTCCTGGTACAGAAATGCTATCATACACTGGTAGCGGATCTTACTGCTATGCTACAGCCTATATATGACCTTGCTCGCGTCAGGGTGCGAACCGCAATCGCTGCCCTCGCCCGGTTTTATTGAGTGTTTGACAACTATGCCTTTTGGTAAACAGTTCATCCGTCTTGAAACTGGCCCTGTTTCCTTCTTCAGTAGCCCGCATACAAACCCTGATGAAGGCATAACTCTGGCCCTTAAAACAATGGGCTGGACCTGCCAGGTTCATCGCGGCGGTGATGTCAGCGCGGCTCTTTCCTCGCTGCGTACAGCTGTCTCCCAGGGCCCTGTACTGGCTGGCCCTTTAAATATGGGATACCTCACGTATAATCCCGAGTACAAGAACCTAGGCGGAGCCGATCACTTCGTTATAGTATTGAAGGTAGACGACAACGACGACGACGACGCTAGGATACTTCTGCATGACCCGGCTGGTTACCCAGCCGTACTTCTGCCTCTGGCAGAATTCCTTAAGGCATGGCGTGGAGAAGGTGTCGAATACGCTGACCAACCTTTTGTCTTTCGCTCCGGCTTCCAACGAGTTGATCATGTTTCCCGGACAGATATGATTACCCGGACCCTTGGGGTCGTTCAAGAGCAGTTTTCGAGTGAGGTCGAACATCCAGATAACTTTGGTGGTGTTACGGCGCTGCAGCTAACTGCTGAAGCTGTGGCAGCCGCGGTGCCCAGTGTTGTAAATGACCTGGCTGCATTCACCCTCCCCCTTGCGGCGAGGCGCTACCTGGATGCGAGGGACTTTTTGACTGAGGCTGGTTTGTGTCAGGCTGCTGAGATCATGGAGCAGCAGGCTTTGTTAGCTGGTAAGGCACAGTATCTGGCTGTGCATAAGAATTGGAAGGATATTATTGCAATTCTTGAAGAGTTAGCAAAACTGGAAGACAGGCTAATTACCATAGTCAGGGCTTTATAGAACTTAAAGCTTTATAATAAGCGCATTATCCCGGAAACAATGCATGCTATACTTTAAATTTTTCAATTTAATTACAATTACCTCTTGCTACAACTGTGTAGTTAAAATTGGATGGATATCCACAGGCAAGTTCCAGTCTGTCATTATACATAGCTACTTTCGCCCCCTTTCCCTCTTAACATCTTGGCCACACTTACGTCCAGTACCATCGTTTTCAAATTTCTCGTAAGTACGTATAGGTTGTGGCGTAGACCTCGACAAGAGAGGAATCATCCTAATATCGCAGCGGCTGTCTTGGATAGCTGCAGCAACCCACTGGTTGCTCTCGTAGTTGTGGTCAGCTGGTGCTCGCTGGGGAATTTCTCCAGGAGCTGGGCTTCATATGTGCTTGCTCTCGAAAAGGCGACCTGAATGTAGTGGATTGGCTCGAATGAAATGAATCGTTGGGAAAGAGTTATACTTTAGGCCACAGACATACAATACCTTATATAGTAACCAATCGGCGAATATCATGGAAGATCATTGAAGTGTTTCAATATCCACCTAGGAAAATCTTCAGAGGGCCGACAACTTGCCCCTCAGGGAGGGGAAGGTCGTCCGAGATTTTCTGACAATAGAAAATTTTTTTGCCAATCAACTTTTTGTGCGCCATTGCCTTGAGAGCGGTGAAATAGTGAATGGGAACTAGCGACTCCATTGTAATATATCCCACGTCTTGGAGCCACAGAGTATATTCCGACCTGGCGATTTTACCAGAAGCAGTTTGACAGCAGGCAACTAAACTCAGTCCGGTGATTTCACCAGGGCCTGGTTGACTGAGCAGCTTATCTTGCAATTCTATTGCATCTCCCGGACCTGGCTGTTTCCATGGAGAGTATAGGATACAAGATAATCTTAAAAGATTACTCTGGAATCTATGGAAAGGATCCAGATTGACCAAATTCAGCAGAGTATTCTAGTAGACGGCAAGCGGGGCGCTGTTCATGATAGTAGGGGTCTATAAAACAGCAAGTGACCAGAGGCATTTCGATCCCTGGTCAACTACTTCTATTAACTCTCTGTATCATCCTGGCCGCCTCGCCATGACATCTGCCCAGCCGATTCTCCCCTCTCCAGTTGGCCTCGTCCTCAATCGCCTTCGAATCCCACTTCAGCCCAACCCCCCATATGCGGTCCCGAGGACTGCCCTCTACGAATGTCCTCTCCTGCGCAGCCAGATACACACTCCTTAAGCCCTGATCCACCTGCGCCCTCGCAACACACCCTGCCATTATAATCGGAATTGAGGCCTTGTTCCACACATCTGGCCGGAACCCACGCACTTTTCTGCCTAATGCCTTTTGCGACCTAGGAACATTCGTCCGGAGGATACACGGAAGGTGCGAATCCCTGGCATATATTTTCTCTAGCTCTGCAGTTTCACGCCCCCGTCCTCTTCCGGAAGATGAAGAGGAAGGTGCAGGCGCAGATGGGGAAAGGATGTCACTCTGGAACTGCTTGAATTCCTCGTCAGATACCTTCCCCGCCCTTTGGAACGGCTTCAGCCCGCTTTCATCCATATCACATTCAAAGAGCCACGCCTTCATGGCCATCATCCATTGCTCTCCGCGCCCGAAGCCAAACTCATGGATCAAGAGCGTGGAATAGGCTTCTTGTGATGGGTGTGCGATGCCTAGTTTGTCGAGGAGGGGGAGACAGATCTCTAGTCCTCTTTTACCAGGGAATGGCGATAGGCTGGGATGCCAGTTGGAGAGGATGCCGCCGTGGAAAAATATGTGGGTTGGTGTTGTGCGGAAGGAGGGATGGTTCAGAACCGAGGATGGAGTTGGTGTGTTGGCGCTGGAGGTGGACGGTTTGGGGCTTCGTTTGCGCTTGCGCGTTTGCTGTGTCGAGGGAGGCATGTTAAGTCTGTGTTAAGTGATGTCGACGGGGTTTTCTGAAGATTCTTAAATTTTATCCTGTGGAAGAGACATGGAAAATAAGGCTGATTACCTTCCCGCTCGGTGTTTTGCCTCGTATTCATTCATATGATGACTCACTGGCAGGGTTTGTGTTTAGTCACCTAAATAAAGTGGGGTGATAAAAGCAGTTAAGTTAGTTACCTTATTTAACCAAGTTAATTTAAAATCTCCCATATTATGTGTAAACGGCAGACCCGTGAATTGGCCGTAAGGAGTCAGGTTTAAGATAATAGGAGGGGATTCAAACATGATTCTGGTATACAGTGGTTTACGCGCAGTATTGAGGCGAGGAATATCAAGGTTTCCGGGCAGAAAGCTGCTATTTATATTAAGAGGCTTGAGAGAAGGCTATTTTGAGCGCTCTTTTAAACCCGCAGTACAGTAGAGAAGAAGTAAACATCGTGAGCTAGTAAGCATTAGTAATCAGGTTTTAAGGACGTCCGTCCGTTGCGGGTAAAATAAGGTCCACTTTATAGAAGTTGGTAGTGCGTGGATGTAAGTGCCCAAGGAAGTGGCAGAAGCGTTGGCAAATCAACAGCCAAAAGCAGCGTCGGGTGCGGCCGTTTTTGGCAGTCCATTTGCCGTCATCTAGTTTAAAGTAGTTCTCTATACCTCTTCCATATCTGGCATGGACCAATAATATCTCAAAAAAACTACGACTATAAAATCTTTCTGGCTTTGAAAATACATCTTAATCCTAGTCCTAGGGGAGCCGAAGAAAATTATTTTCATACGAAAAGAAAAACTAGGAAACTAAAGGTAGATAATAGGGCCCTATAGACATGCAAATCCGCAGCACCCATCTCCGGTATATAGTGGACTTTATAGAGCAGATTTTGAGTGCACCACGTGTCTGGATACACCGGGAACTTGCATTATTTATAAAATTTTATTCTCTTTTCTTCAGTATGCTCATTGTATCCATCTTTACATGGAAAGAACAAAGCGGGAAGCGAATAAATAAGGAATTAAGGACTAGTGTCTTATTATAATAAGACTTATATTTCTTATAAAGCTAATACTGTACCAAATTGATCATTAGCACGTCTAGAACGCTTTCGATTTCTACGAGAGACACGCTGCTGGGTGTTAGGTAAAGGAAGCTCCGCTTCATCATTAGATAAAGTAGCTCTTTGGGCCTCTTCTCCTAAATTAGATGCAACACTTTTTCATCTCTTGCCTGCAACATGCTCCGAACGTCCCTGAATAACAAGCTGGTCTTAGAAAATCACCAGATTATCTTCCTCCTCATTATCACAGTTGGCTCGAGGTCATCCTTGGTAGCTGTGTATCTCCCTATTTATCTAGAGTTTGGTAGTGAGCCTCGAGTCCGCAACCTCTAGTTACCCGCGGGTGGGCTATGACTTATGAGTCCCAAACCGAAACCCTCAAATTTGCGGTTTTTGTGTAACCAGTGGGTTGTGCCTAGGCCTAATCCCAGGTCAGGAGACTTGTATTTCTCTTCTAGTTTAGTTATGCTGTGGCAATTGCAATATTCCAGCAGGGCTGTAATAGAAGGTGATGAAAGTGCATAGTAAAAGTAGATGGTGAAACTGGGGAAATAAACTTAAGCACAGTGTAATAACTTCTATTTCTTTTCTTTTCTTTTATCTTTTGATAAAAGAATGATCTGCATCTTAGGTGGTTGCCTAATGTGCGGGGTCCACACGCCGAGTACTTAACCCCTTTCCTGTATTCGAGAGAGGCGCGAGTTAACTATTCGAGGAAGTGCGGTATCGTGGTCTAAGATAACAATGAATAGATTATCGTTCTCTATATTAGGCAACTGGTTTCGTGCAGCTTTTAGATGAACTAACTGCCTTCTACCCCCCTCCGAGTTACATCATCTTGTGTATTTTTTTGGGGGGGGGGATAAATGTATCGAATTTCCTCGATTTTACTGGTGAAACTAATTATTTAACTTCATCAATAGAATGTCCAATAATCCCATTCTTATCGCAGCAGCCTAATAACGGGCAATAGGGCTTGCGGAGTATTTGACGATCCATCCTACCCCTGAATCATTTAGTTAGTTAAGCACCTTGAGGCCGAGAACCGAGATCTCTAGATAGAAATACAAGAGATTCAGTTGGTTGAGATACTGTGATTTCTGGTGTTTCCACAGATGACATCTACTTCCTATTTAGGCTAATGATTGGCCTGTAGCTGATCTATAGCTCCCTGCGCATCACTTCCCCTAAATTCCACAACAGTACCATCTTGTGATAAACAAATACAACCAAGTCCAATGGCCAATCTCACATACAATCCCATTTATCTATTTTATCTGCAGATAATGGATCCAAAATTGAAGCAGGTATTTCGCAGGTCAGATAACAGTACTATCTGGAAAATGAGATCAGGCAATTGCATTATCTCGATTACAGATATTTATGCCGAGCTCCTGTCATTTAGTGACAAGATATCAAGATAGGTCGTGCGAATTTCTCAGTTCCTTTTGTTACCTATGATAAAGTGAGTAACTATACCCTGGCTACGTCAGAATAAAGTGGACAAGTCTAGCTATTCGGAGTTTGGGACTGGCCTATGGGCAGAGTGTTGAAAGTCAAAAAAACGGGGCTATTTCGGTTAGCCAAACCCTTAAATAGATGAATGAGATCAATGAATATTGCTAAGTAAAACATCTGACCCAAGACAAGCGCCAGGCTACGGCTATATAACTCATGTAAACATTATGACTTCTTTGAGAACATATTCAACCGTTTTCCAGCCAGACTAGTTACCTTACCCGTAACACCCTGAGATGACTGAGTTTGGGGTGGCAAACCTGGGCTCAGGTCACCCTTCGGTCGATTGGAAGCTGGGAGAGTTGCATTCAATTTATCAACAGCCCATGCTAGTCCGGCCTGGCTTGCATGGTCGATGGCAGATTTTCCATCTTTATCTTTAATGTCGAGAGCTGAGCCTGCAACTAACAGGTCATCCAGTGTTTCCCTTAAAGTGGCAGGGTCACCGAGGCTGGGCAATTGCTGCGGTTGTCCCAACCTTTGTATATAGAGCATCAGGGGTGTCCTTCCGTCATTGTCCTGCGAGTTTACATCCACCTTTTTGGACTCGAGGAGTAGCTTTATATATGTGAAGCTGCCGATGCCATCCACAGCCGCGTGCAGCGGTGTATATCCGTTGGAATCCCTACTCTCTACCATCTTCTTGTTAGTTATGTACCGTTCTAGTATCTTTTTGACCGTCTCCTCTGTTCCCTTTGACCTCACAGCTATGTGTAGGGCAGTTTGATTGGTAGCAACTCCACGGAGCGTATCGGTCGCTGACTTCCATAAGGCTGCAGTTTTCATGCTTGCTACTGCCTTCAGCGTGGACGCAACCTTGACATCTTTTACTCCTCGTGCTACGGCCACTTTGTCCAATGACGATGCCTGTTCAGGATTGGCCCCGTTTTGCAACAGCACATCCACAGCGTCTTCCAAACCTGGGACGGCAGCCGCCTTGTGGAGAGCAGTTACACCGGAGTAATTGGGAATATTCGGATCCACAGGCTTGTATTTGGATTTGTGGTGCAACAAACTGGTCATTATCTCCACCGAACCACTTTGGACCGCGTAGTGTAGCGGAGTGTTTCCTCCAAATCTCGTGGGAATCCCTGGGTTTGCTCCCATCTTCAGCAGTTCTCGAACGATGCGGACGGCCGTATCGCTAGATTTTGAGGCGGCAAAATGTAAAGCAGTGCGTCCGGGACGAATGATTCCCACTGTTTCTGAGTCTACGGCAGCGCCATTTTCAAGAAGCCACGCCACTACATTCTCAGCTTCGGAGTCCGCAGCGACATGTAGAGCGCGCCACCCTTTCATATCGGGAAGGTTGATGACCTGTTGGCGGACCATAGCGAAGGATGAAGCCCCCCCAGCCAGCATTTGCATTCCTGGAAGATTGACGAGAGATGTCAGGGCGCTTCCGGTTGAAATAAAATGTTCAGCCAGTGAGGTGAGATTCAGTCGAGCGGAAATAAAAAGAAGACTGAGACTGCTTGTGCCACCGGTGTCTGATAGTAATTTGTCAGGGAGATAAGTCAGCTATGAACGTAGGGTTCAATGCCATATATGGGATGTCGGATATCCGTACATTTACCTCTTGTGCAGCGTACCAGTAAATCATATCCTCGTACCCAATGCTGCAATGCATTAGTCTTCCCACCGAAAAACTCGTCCCTCCCATGAATATCGACGTGCACTCCTGTGTTTTCGCTTTCTCGAAGATGAAAGCCGAGAAACGTGATCGAGTATTCGAGGAAATGGTAGTTCCCTAAATATCGTTCTATTTCCTTCTCGCGCTTCTCCCTGTCGATCATGCCATTCGCATCGACTGGAGGCTCGGGGGCTTCCAGCTCTCGGATTTCCTCCAGGCTCAAGTAGGCCAGACACGACTCGGCCATTTGTTTATGCGTTTCACATATACTGATTCGCTCCTGCACCTGCCTTTCGCTTGAATTATTATATAATTGACGAATGAAGTCCTTGACGGACGGATGGGCCAGATGAATCGAGCTATCATGATGAAGAGCGAGAAGCGCCTTCAAGCCGCTCTCAAGTGAGCTGCGAACGATCTCCGGGCGTAGAGACCGTTGTTTGATCTCCTCGATGGATTTAGCCCCATCCTGTAGCGCCCACATCACCAGGATCTCGTTCACTTTCAACGGGCGACCTGCCACGTACGCCCATCTGAGCAGAGTCTGCATCTTTTTATCTATGCTTTCGAAAATCGTCCCATAAATGGCCTGGACGTCATAGGGCATACTCTGAAGCTTCTCTTTGACCAAATTGATTTCCCATATCATGCCGTCACCTAAGGATTTTAAAGCCAGTGAGAGCCACAAAAACATGCCCTCAGCGCGCCGCGTCAGGATCTCCACCACTTCGTCAAAGAAGGATTCGGTCAACCCAGGATTGAGCATCTGGAAATGCTTCACACGGGACCGAGTCACAATCCTAATATCCTCTCTATTTTTCTCGAACAGATCAATCGTTTGTACATTCTGCATCAGCCGGTCCAAGCCGTTGGGTCGTGTGCAGAATATCCACCGAGGTTGGGAAACGCCGCCGCTTCCATAATTTGAGACCTGGTTGACCATGTCGCACAAACCAAGAGCATCCTGTGTTTGTTGATACTGGCCATCCACAAGCAAGTATACCTCGCTGACATCTACATGTGCCGTAATCCTCCCTAACAGTTTCGCGAGGGACTCCATCGACTCGAACGCGTCGGGATTGAGAATTGGATGCTCTGGATTCCCGGATTCCTGCCAAAACTCGGGGTCTTTGGTGTCGATCAGATCGCGGTTCAGCCTGAAGATCTCGTACAAGAGGGTCCTCATGATCCAGATCGGCGTCTGCCGGTTGGGGTGTCTATCGCAGAAACTGCCTGCGACAATGAGTTTCCCATCCTTCCCTTCCTTGGGGGGGGCCCAGCTCTGCCTCTCCCTAAGGATAAAAGAAGAAATGACACTCTTGCCACAACCAGGGCTTCCACTGATCCACAGGGGATGGTTGGGTGCCCCCGCTTGCCAGGTGCGAAGCTCAGGAAGTATCCACAAACAGGTTCCAGGCTCTGGGGGCTCAATTTGGACACCAATACTGGCATCACCCGCAATCAGAGCATCAAGGAACGTATCCTCAGCGTTTACAGCCGATGATCCACCTGAGTTTTAAACTGTTAGAAAAAAAGTTTGTACATTCCGTTGCCTTGAAGGCTTACCCATGTAAACAGTGGCACCCTCGGAAATGGCAAAGGTAGTATTCATAGTGCCCATATTTTGACCCATCTGGAGGCCTTGGTTCATGGACCCAGAGAAGGTAGCTTGTGACTGAAACTTTGCTTCCGCCATCTTGGACATTGTGCAGCCTGCACGTCGTACGGGTCACACTGGACCTTGGAGTAGGAATTAAGCGTGGAGGTTATTATTATGGTCTCGCCTGTCAGTCGGATTAGAGTATATTAACGTCCACATTAGTTTCTTGTTCTTCTCCTTTTGGCAATGATTAATATGTTGAATTAGGGATCAGCTACCTTCAACTCCAGTGTGGGGTCAGCCGTCACGCTTTGTTCCCACCCAGGCTCATAGAACGAATGGCACGAAAATTTCGCGCTTTCCCTATGAATTTTTAGGTAGTAGCAACCCTTCCTACTAGCGATTGAGGATAGAAGATAGTACTATGATACGGCGAGACTTTATATTTTTCAGCCAAACGTTTCCGCTCACTGCGCCGACCCCTCCTTTGATTAAAAAGGAAAAAAAAGCCAAAAGGAAAAGAGATTACTATTGGATACTCAATACTAAAAATACGACCATCTTAATCAACGTGCCATTCATGCACATCCATTGCGGGGAGAGCTTACTGTCGACCTGTCTCCATAGCAGCTGGAAGGAACATACCAGACAGGCCTTGCCTTCACCTTTCGTTTCCAAATTTAATTATACCACGCGTATTATTTATTCACCCAGAACCTCATTCTCGCATGGTTCAGGACAGAGGTACTTGGGCTTGGAAAGATTTTCTATGGAACACAGCCAAAGCCTCTACATCAAGGCATTAACTGGGCGCATTCTTTACACCCTGACCGATTGCATTGGTTGACGCCTAACTCCAGGAATCCTCTGTGGAGTATCGGGACGAAACAAGACCTTACAGGTATCACAAAGAACTATACATATATGGCACTCTGTGACAATACATTTACATGTATTTTATATGTATTCGGCGTGCGCGGGGTCGCCCGTCGTCAACCCAAGAAAAGCAATATGGCCAGGTCTAGAGGAAAGTTCAGCTGTCTCGTTTTCACGAATTTAAGAGCACAAACAAGATAACCATAAAACCAATGTTTGCACGACACAGCAGACGGTGCACCCAATAATCGAGAACCTCTACAGCGTAACTTGAGGGGCAGCCCCTGGTAGCATTCCGATGAACACGTCCTAATTCGCCTATCACCACATGTCTCCGCATATCAAATGGACATACCCGTCTGGGCATGCATAGAGACCTAACGTTGGGGGACAGGAACTAAGCATAGTTAGCCCCGCCGAATCTGCCTCAGTAGTAGGCAATATGTGCATATATGTATCGGCAAATATAACCGAGTGGTGTCCATGAAAGTTCGTAATGCATATTTCAATGCTGAGAAAACCCACTCTGTTCGCCGATCCCACTAAGACGGGTGCTCCCCCGCCATTTTGAACATTCCGTATGGGCCAGACCGCATTCCGCAAGTGGGCAATTTGTAGGTACTTTTAAAATTTCTGCAAGGTATTGAAGAGACGCAGGCGTTCGACAGGATAAGGCCTCGGGAAGGCCTCGGCCTCAGCCCGCCACACCCACCCACCACTAGGCTACTATCGCTAGTATGACCAATACCTAAAGTTGAGGCGGTTATTGGTCTGTGCAGCGATTTCACAAAAGTGGGGTAGTTCAACAGGCTCGTGAGACTCCATGACCCCCGCCAACGCCCACCACCACAGAGATCTATCCGTAGCCCAATAGCAGAGGCAAGATAAGATTATGTGGCGACCTGAACAATCCATGAGGTGACAGCCAACCTGAGGGATATATCAGGAGACCCACTACTGGCGAAGCTGCTGTGCCGGAAAATGGCACGGTAAAGGCACCATGACGGATTGGAACTCATCTTAGGTCGACCAAACGCCGTCCAATCTTTACTGGCCACCAATGACTACCTGCAGCCTACGACTGAAAGGGTATTTTGTGTCCAGGGAACCCTGCTTGTGACTCGTATCAAGAGCAAAGCACATATTTATCAGCAAATCAGTCGTCATCGACGCCAGTGATGCAGTAATGTAAGAATGGGGAGAGGAGATGGCATAGAAGCATACAGCAGATCCACAGAGAGGGATCCCGGGTGTAGGTGCTACTTTTCTACCCAGCCAATCCTCTAGTTACACTGCGTTCCGTATATAAGCGCTGCGAAAGATCACTTTATTGAGTTCTGTGGTTGTTTTGTTCAGATTCTATCCACATTCCCAAAATGTCTATTAGAATCATTCGGGAAGCAGCCAAAGCCAAAGTCGAGTAAGATAGGCTCCGCCTTTTCTGGAGCCCTTTTATATATCTACGTACTGACCTTGGCCACCACAGCATCGTGTTTGTCCACGGTTTACATGGAGATCAAGCACCGTGGACCTCTGAGGCAGGTCTCTTTTGGCCTGAAAAACTCCTCCCTTCCAAGGCATCCGACGCGTGTATACTGTCCTTTGAATATGAGGCGACGATTAATTCTTTCTTTGATGAGGACGACGGAATCAACGACGTTTCCAGCGACCTAATCAACGAGCTGATAGACCATCGAGTTGAGAAAGAAAAGGTTTCCGTTCCCTCTCCCCAGTTTCCATTGGCCTATCATAATAACAAACAGATAGGAAGAGCGAGCCATAATTTTCATTGCGCATGACCTTGGTGGGGCGGTTTTAGAAAACGTACGTAGCTACCTCTAGATCAAATCTCAGTTCTTCGAAAACCCCGCTAATCCAGGATATTTACCCAGGCCCTCGTGAGAGCAGCTGAGCATCCCAAAAAAAGGGAACTCATCGGCTATGTCTACGGTATCTTACTGCTGGGAACACCGCATTTCCAGACTGGATCACTAAAGGCGGCGACAAAATATTTCCAACTGGCTAAGGTGGCCGACGAGGAGATCCCGAGTGAATCCGACCTGAACGAAAAGTCGCAGCGGCTCATCGCGATTCCCCCGGCCTTTGCCGGTCTCAAGCAAGCTGGGGCTGAGTTTGAGGTGGAGGTTTTCTACGCCGGAGCCGGGACCAAACTGGGCGGCAAGGACGTGAAGATCGTCGATGAAGCATTGGCCCGGTGTCCCGAAGCTCCTCTCCCGGAGAAGCTGGCCCGAAACCAGCTACGATTGAGCCAATATGACGCTGAGGATGACAAGGACTTCAAGAAGGTGCTACGGGTTGTTACTCAATGGATGTCGAAGATTGTAGTTCCCGAGGAGGAAAAGGGTGCGCAAAATGTATCTAATGCAACGTTTTCGGGGTCCCACAATTCTGGTTTGCAGCTCGGGCAGAATGCAGGTACTTTGAAGGGGTTCAGCTTTGGAAGGAATTAGTCAGTGGTTTGCCTTCTGGGTGCGCAGCTAGTTTCGAGCATATCTGATATATTGAGGGTACAACTCCTGGAGCAGAAGGCCTGGTTGCAACAGTAAGTGAGGATGAGGGCTTCTTCAGTGTAGTACAATCTAGATGAGATAAAAAAGGGCATGTTCGCCTCTGTGCTTGTACCCCAGAACTATGATACACCGCCGTTCTTCTGTCGGTTTTGGCTGTTATATTATCCCCTAAATTAACTTGGTAAATGTTGCTCTTCCACAGGGATGCCCCAAATCGTCGTAGCACAGATCGTGGCAGCATGCGGACTGTTGCCAGCCATTTGCATTAAAAGACCACTAAGAATGCAGTAAGACATAATCCCTGCCCGACACATATCAGGCGTGCGAAGTGGCTGGCGGAGGTTTGCAGCGGAGTTGCCCACTCGGCGTTGAAAGGTTCGAGCAGGAGGATTGCATGGACGCGACACCTGTTCGCTCTTAATTGGGTAGCCGGTTAGTTTGCGAAGTCACAAAAAAAAAAAAAAAATTGATAATGAGAGACGACGAAAAAATTAATATTTCCGTAATATTATGTCCTGCCTCTTGACCGTCCAGTCTCCATGGCACTGCTCAGTTGCCGGGCATGGGTGGGGGATTTCCAAATGAGAAAGAGAACCGTCACTCGTCCTTGATTCTTTTTTTTTTTGTGTGTGAAACTATATATCTCCAAACCTTGACTCCTCCTTTCGCTTGCCATATTCACTTCTCACGTTTGCTTCAAGCCTAATACCATTTGTAGGCATGGCTACCCAGACAGGAAATGACGCAGGGCAGGTGTCCGACCTCGCTCAACTATGGCAAAGCGCAGTCGATGACTATGAGATGAGGACCAAGAAGTCCCTTCGACTGGCGCAGCTCGGCAACATCGATCAGATCATGAAGAGCACAGAAGGCCTCTCAAGCGAATTCAAAGAATTTCGTCACGATCGGTCCAAAGTGGACAAAGTGCGGACCGCATTCAAAAACAACCTGTGGCTGATCCAGAAGGTCGTCAATACGGTCCAAGTGGTTGGAGGTGCCGCATCGGTGTGTATTGAATATTAAACCGCGCAAGCCTTTACATTCCTGTTGATACTGACGATGACAGGCATTTCCTCCTGCAATGCCAGCGAGCTTGATTTTCACGGCCTTTGGACAGGTCATGCAGGTGAAGTACTCAACCGGATCAAAGTATTTGTCTTGTTAACATCCTCAGTCTTTCGCCACGGTGTCCGCCGACTACGATAAGATCATGGGGTTTTTCGACTTCACGCATCGATTTTTTGACAGACTCTCGATGATTGAGGACAAGACCCCACAGCAAAAGCCATTCCACCGCTGTGTCACACGTGTCTTCTCGGGCATGCTGACAATCTGTTCGGTTGCCCAGGAATACGCGGAGAAGAAAAGATTCAGTATGCAGTTAAATCCTTCCTGACCAAGCGCCCTTTTCTGATGGGCTGTGATGGCTGACTTCGTCTCTATCTAGAGAAGTGGTTCAGCAGCCTGCTCGATGGCTCGGACGGAGCTCTTTCGGGAGCTATCAAGAACATGGAGGAATCCGTGAATGAGCTCACCCAGGCCGTAGGTCTAGCCACACTTCGGACGGTGGAGATCCTGGATGAGGTCACACAAAGCATGAATGGAAACATCGAGTTCCTCGTATCGCAGGTCACTCTGGTCGATGAGCGAACGGCGGCCATCAAATCCGACACGGCAATGATTATTGAACAGAACCAGGAGCTAGAAGCGAAACAGGACGCCATAACGTCGATGCAACGAGAAACGCTGGAAAAGTTGAACGAGCAATCTAGGATGTTCAACGATGCGGTTGAAAGTTTCGGATGTATTCAACTGGGAGCCAATTTTGGCTCCAGCTTTCAGACTAGTTTGCTGAAGCTGGACGTCACGCGTCTCCGACTGACTCGTTGGGGTCAGTCCATCGGACTGGCGAACATAGATGACGTGAAATCACTCCAGATGACAAAGCTCTCCGCCGAAGACAGAGAGCACGTCCGAGATCTTCTAGACCAGATTCTGGAGCTCTTTGTGGATGCTGAGGCGTCTTCAAAGCGGTTTAAGAAGCGCACCGGGAGCTCCGCCACGCCCGCGCTAGATCCGGCCAAAGAGCTAGACACGGTCTCGGGCTCACTTCACCAAAAAATGCAGGATCTTGCTAAGAAACGGCAGGGGGAGTCCAAGTTGGAGCAGAGCGAATGGACTCTGTACGAGGAGAAGAACTTCACCCGGTTGATTGAGGACATCAGCGAGTTGGTGGACGGATTGATCGATCTCTTCCCAGGAATCCAGGAAGAACAGCGCAAGCTGTGTGAGGAGGAAGTGGCGGAGATGAACACCAGCGAGAAAGTTCTTCCACTGCTGAAAGAGATCGCGACTGGCCAGGACAAGCTGCTCAGTGACACGGTCGTCAAAGTCATCCAATCTACCACAACCTATACTAATAGCGTGGTATTCTCAGGGCCTAACTCTGGCTTCCAGGTAGGGAATAATTCGGGCAAGATCAGCAGTGTTCGGTTTGCCGCTTCCTAGTCTCACCGGGCTTGCAGTAAACAGTTATCTCTGAGCGAAGTAGAGAGACATTCTGAAACATCAAAACAAGTGACCAATAGCTGATGTAATTTATATAAAAATTGTCATTTCGTATACCGTGTAAATGTGTTGCGCTCCACTATGTGTAATACACTAGGCGCCCACTGACTTCCACTCTTACTTGAACATGTGGCTTTCGATAGGAGGGCGAAGCTACGGGCAGAGTTGGCTTTACATATTACCCCCACACTAGCTTGCTTCAAAGAATGGCTCTGGGGGCTCCATGAAAGCTTCTCTTGAAGTACAGTTATATGACGTGCATTTGCTATGTGTCGGTCAGCTGAATACACGTATGAGCTACTACTATCACTGATCATATAATAATATGGATCTGCATTGAAAAGGATAAGGTCTCTTGAGGTCTCTGACTTTCTGAACCTGGGAGAACTAAATAAAACGTGAAAAAACAAAGGAACAAAGTCGGAACGAGCAGATGCTGAATTAATATTGCCCACTTTGATCAACGCTATGTTACACGTAAAATTGTGCCACTAGAAGATTCTGATAGCACCGTTGCCAATGACAGCAGGTGCGGTGAATTTTGGTATATTTTAGATCAAAATCATGCTAGTTAACTAAGAACTACTTGACTCCCAGGTCGAACATGGTTTCTATGTGGTCTACAAAGGAAGAATTCCGGACGCCCTCCATTTACAGGTAGTAAAATGCTGTCTACAGTCATCTGCCCATAAGCTTCGCATCAACCCTGACTTGCTCCCCCGCTGGTGTATCACTGGTGAACGAGTTTCGTGGGCCTCCATGGACAAGGAGTGATATTGTGGCCATCAGCACAGGGCATTCCTATATGGCGGCCTGGTAGAGAAGCATCGGGATTCGGGATCCGATTAGGTACTCCCTAGTGCCTTGGTGAGCGTTCAGCGTCATCCTCCTGAATAACCTCCATTCCTTAAGATAGAAAGTCAAGGACATAGAGCACGATGGTGAACACGTTGGCCGTGCAGTCAATACAGTTGTTATTGTTATTCTCCCTAGTAGGCTACCGGCGTGTAGCAGGTATAGTGTCTTCTACCACCCATTCCTTCCCTGAGCGAATGATCATAAGAAAATGTAAAAAATACTGTTCGTTCGTTATTTTCAGCTACTATTATCTCCTTAACTAACTTGCTATATGCACGCTTAAGGGGCCCAAAAACTCCAACATCTAGTGGTTGAAGAAGATAAGATGTATGTGGGGGCATACAAAGATAAATATTATATTTCTCTTGCAAAAAGTATTAAATTCTGCAGTCTGGTGGTTAGAATAGCTATCAAGAATAAGCAGCCGCTTTGCACCAGTCAAATTCTGCCTGGAATATGGTTCAAGCAACTCTTTTGGCCGGCGAGGGGGTATTTTATCTGTTGTCCGGCTATTATCACTTTTTGTGATCCTCCAATCTCTGTTCCCATCCTTACGTAGTGCAGGCACTTAATACCAAGCAGCTTAATGCTGCTTAGCCTTTAAAATAACCCAGGTGGAATAAAATCCCATTTAGAGCTTGCACATTCAATAACTGTAACACATTCGCGGTTTCCTTGGATAGCTGTACGAGGTCTCTTATTGTGCTCGGCTGCAGTACTAACCTTAGAGGTTGTACAGAGACCCGTAGCAAAGCTAGTTTCATCAAAATTCCAGATATCATCCTTATGTATACCATATTCTTGGATAGCTTCATGCATAGGCGCAAACCACTGATCTATAATCTTTGGGTCCTCCTATCTTGCCTGCTGGTATGTAATTCTTCGGTCATATCTTATATATAGCTCAGGACATCGTTTGGCAAGGGAATCGGCCCAGTTCACTCCAAGACTTGCAGTTGGATCTTGAGTATGCTTGCAAAGCAAAATCTGTGCTATTTCACGTAGAAACTCCGGCCGCGTTAAAAGATCTCGCCTATCTGCATCCAGTAGTTGCTTAGCAAGAGTTTCTTCTTGAGAAACTGTTAATTTATGGCCACTGGCCGTGTTTCCGACCATGAACTAATTCTATTAGCCGATCAAGAAAGGTAGACTTAGGCACTCCAAATACTGCTGCAGCCTTGACTTTGACACTTAATTTGTTCGCTTTTATAAGCTGCAATCATCATTTGTATTCGATTTTCTTGTGAGGAAGGCATTTTATGATGTAGCCGTGAAAAAATGACGTGTTTAAGAATAGTTGTGATAGGTGGGTATGGAAGTGGACGAGACAGCCGTGGAATACGTTAGCTATTAATAATCTTGTTACTTCAGCAGGCCTCGCAGATGCCCATCCTGTCTCTTTGCCAGCAGATCCAGGTTTAGTTATCGATGCTGACCCCTATCCAACCCTTAATGAGGAATATAATCGATTTACGGGTAGTTTTTAAATGCTTGCCCGAGAACCCGTCCAGATATTGCGCGCATCGCGAGCTTGTTAGCACAATTTAACAAGGCCCCTGCCAGCAAGGCATTTGGCGCGGCCAAGTATTTATATAATATTTGAAAGGACCTCGTACGCGGGGTGTCACCTTTCGAATGTTAAAGAGACCCCTACTGCAACCAGTAGTTAATATCGATTTAGACTGGGGTTGTCCTCATCATAATCGGCGGACAGTATCAGGTTACATTGCACTCTTAGCCGGTATTTGATATGGTAGTGGTCTGCCAAACAAACATCTATTACCTTATCATCTCATAAGGCAGAATATATGGCTGTATCTGACGTAGCTCGAGAAACTTAGTGGCTACATCGCCTACTTTAATGAGAAAGAGATCTACTCTGCTCCTTTAGACCCCATTGCATTCCATGTTAATAATAAAGGCTGTAAGGATCTTATCGATTAAATCGTCACCACCGGGCGTCCTAAGTATATTAATATTCGGTATCACTATACACGCGAGCTCGTGGCGGACTGTGTTATTGACATCCAACTATGCCCTAGCAAGGAAAACGCTGCGGATGGCCTTACCAAATTCTTCGATCTGAATGGTTTAAGGATTTTCTCTGCAATATAGGTTTAGCTTAGTTTTGGCTTTTTGCTTTACACGCGATTCTGTATGTAATAGGGCTGGGTGAGCAGCTTGCCCAAGGAGGGGTGTTAGAGACCTACCGTATTCGGTATGGTCACGTGGCGTCTCTTAGTCACCATCTAGATAGACAGCTCGCCTGAGCCCCTTGAATTGAAGAGAATCGTGCCTCGCGAACAACACACCTTTTGCCTTTTTCTTCCTGCATCTTAACCCACCGTGGTTTAAAATTTCTCCTCTTGAGTCAAAATGCGTTTGCAAGTGGTCTCCGCCGTGGCCGCGTGGGCTGTTTCCTCGGCCTGTCAGAGCTTGTCTGTCAGTCGGGACCTTTGGTCTCGCGATGTCAACTACAAGGCGCTCAGCGAGAAGCTTTCCAGCTCCGCTAAGGTTTACTACCCTGACTCGGATGAGTTTGAGGAGGCTTCCTCTCGGTGGTCCAATTTAGAGATACCCACCGTAAATATCATCGTCGTTCCGAGTACTGAGAATGATGTCGTCGAGACGGTAAGCTTTTGTTTTCTATACGTTGTTGATCTATCTATCTTTCTCTCTTTCTATTTCATATTTTTCCTTCTTCATATGCCATATTTTCCTCCGCACATGAGCAACACATCTTGCTTCCACCGATGCATCCGCGTGACACAGCGACAGTCCGCTAATATCACTGTATAGGTGAAATTCGCCAATAAGAAGGAATTGCCTTTCCTAGCTTACAATAGCGCCCATGGAGCAATCACCACCCTAGGAAAGATGACCAGCGGTATCGAGATCTATTTGGACCAGCTCAGCGGTGTCGATGTCGCCGAGGATGGCAAGACCGTTACCATTGCTGGTGGAACCAAGTCTAAGCTGGTGACTGACACGCTCTGGGATGCTGGAAAGCAGACGGGTAAGTCTAGCCCTAACCATATATAAGGGCATCAAAACGAAACAACTCAGGGGATGCTAATTTAACCTAACTAGTCACTGCTGCCTGCGAATGTGTCAGCTACGTCGGCCCCGCCCTGGGTGGTGGCCACGGCTGGCTTCAAGGCCGCCACGGACTTATTGCTGACCAGTTCGAGTCGATGAACATCGTGCTTGCCAACGGTACTCTTGTCACTCTGGATTCCAGCTACGAGCTCTGGTGGGCTGTCAAGGGTGCCGGTCACAACTTCGGCATCGTCACCTCCGTTACCTCTAAGATCTTCGACATCGAGCACAAGGATTGGGCCATTGAGATCATCACTTTCAGTGGCGACAAGGTCGAGAAGATCTACGAGGCTGTCAACAAGTATCTCCTTAAGAACGGCACCCAGCCCACCGACATTATTAACTGGTCGTACTGGTTTAACAAACCCGATGCGGATGCTAGCAACGTGAGTCTATCTTCTTTCTTAATATTCCTTCCGTGCCAGTGTCTAATGGTTACCTCCAGCCTGTTATCCAAGTGCTAATCATCCAAGAAGGCGTTAAGGCCGTCGACTCCGCCTACACTGCCCCCTTCCACTCTATGGGCCCCATATCCATCGAGCCCCAGAGCGGCAGCTACACCGACCTCGCCGAATGGGTCGGCATCACCACGACTTCGGGACCCTGCCAGAAGGACGGAGCGATGAACCCACGATTCCCCAACTACCTCGAGACGTACGACGTGGCTGCGCAGAAGAAAGCCTACGAGGTCTTCGCCGAGGGTGTCCGCGGCTCTTCGGTCTTCAACAACTCCTTGGTCACGTTCGATGGATACTCCACGGAAGGCGTGAAGTCCATCGACGCCAAGAGTACCGCGTTCGCCTTCCGTGATCAGAATATCCTCATCGGGCCCTTGATCACCTACATGCCTGACGGCGTCGAGCTGGACGAAAAGGCCGCTAAGCTGGGTAACCAGATCCGACAGATTCTACACGAGGGGTCAGGACGCGAGCATGTGCGCGCGTATGTCAACTATGCGTATGGCGACGAGGGCCCCAAGGAGTGGTATGGTAGTGAGAGCTGGAGACAGAGCCGGTTGCAAAGCTTGAAGAAGAAATATGATCCTAATGGGATGTTCAGCTTCTATGCGCCAATTGCTTAGATAAGAGGGCGAACAGTGTTTAGCGCGATTTTCTCTTGTGATACGTGTAAGGTGATCCGCTACCCAGGTCGCCAGGTCGGTATCGACAGGTCGCCAGGTGGTAATTTATAGAGTGAAAAGGGGCAGGCAAGATGGCGGTCTGCGTATAGCAGACCAGTGTAGAGAACACCGAACACACTACTAACCTCCCCTGCCATACAGTAGACCAGAGAATAGAGCAGATAATAGAACAGGGAGTTGCATACAGAATAAAGAACTGAGCTCGTAGTCTGTAGGGTAGATAATGGTCCTAGAAGCATGTTCGACTGCGACCGCAGATATATCTACAGTTCCAGCACTTTCATATCCAACTTTTTTGACCAATATTTGCCTCAGGCTTATATTAACTATGTACGTCAATAGTCTTTCCACTAGATACTATTCTCTCTAGCAAATCAATAGTTCTCTAGTTAATCAGAAATTCCATAAACTAATAACTATACTAAATCCAAATATGTACAAGCCTTCCTCGTGGCAGAGCAATGACGTGCCGTTATTTCATTTCTCGATGGCTCGATATACATACTAGAAGGAGGACTAGGACGATTCTGACCTATTAGATCATCAGCTAACTAATCATGGCCTGACATTTTGATAAACGCTACTTTCTATCCTCACGTGCAAGACTTCCCTCTTCTATCAATATAATCTCAACTATTTGTTATGAAGGACGCCGCGATTTCATGAATTAAAGCTAGCTCAGTGAGAGCCCGGGCCTAGGTTTTTAGAAACTCAGCGAATTTTAGAATAATTGAATATGTGTTTTAGAAAATACACGCCAGTTACGAATGGGTGCCGATATGCCAAACTTAAGCTGCTAGCTTAAGACCGGTGACATCCCTGCAAGCTTTGACCTCCTGCAAATTTTCGTCCGCTGTCACTTGAAGAGGTTCACCAAGCTTCTTTCTGGGTTCAAAATATACACCGGTGAGACTCTGATGACGTATGTCTCGACACCATCGTCCAGCTTGTCAGTAGCGCTTTGACGTCCAATCTTGTTAAGTACCCACCCAGAATGCACAGCGGTGACGGAAGTGCTATTAAACCGCCTTGCCACCGCATCAGCAAGTAGCATGACATTAAGCTTCGAATCAGTATGCCGGGAAATCTTGGAATTCCTTTCCCCACGCTCAAAGCAGAAAATATCCTTCACGTTCGTCTTGGCTTCTCGGTGTAGGACGGAAGCGATAAAGATAAGAAGCTTGGGTTGTTTAAGGAGACAAGAGAGAATATAGGGTGCGATAACGTTGACGAAGACCATAGCTAGCGCGCCAGTATCTGGCACCTTGCGGAAGAGGCCGTAAAGCAATCTGGCATTAAGAATGACAGCATCGAAGGTACCATTTGCTTCCTCGGCCATTTTGCGCGTCTCTGTCACGCTTGTCAAGTCTGCAATGAGCACGCCAGCGGCTCCGGTGCATTTTGCCTAGGCATCATCTGCGCGCTCTTGACTACGCGCATGAAGATAGACGGTGTGATTACGCTGAACCAGCTGACGGGCAGCCTCAAGGCCAAAGCCATCCGTGGAACCTGTTATCAGGATACGGGCCACTTCGCAGAAGTTGGCACAGTTGAAATGAGAATGGTGGTATGTACAAAGATGTATTTTCAATAAACGCACAGAGACTGCCAGATGGGACAATAAATTTTCAAGGGCTTCAACAAGGGGATTGGGAACAGAGCTTATTTGAGAAAATATTGCCCAGGACACAGGCGAAGAGAAGTCACATCCGATTCTGTGGTGATAGAAGGAGAGATTTCGAAACGCGTGTTCAAGATAAATGAAAAGGCGGTTGAAAGCTTGCGGATCGATAGCAAGCTGGAAAGACCCGGGGGGGGGGGGGTTCTTAAGCCTAGAAAAGAAAGTGGAAGAATAAAGTTCTTGGCCCGTCGGAGCACTCCGTACTGTTTTGTAGAATGAGCCAGGTCAATTCGGAATAGTCCTTGTGTTGTGGAATCAGGGGAAGTGTGCGCAGGGAGCTATTCTATCAGCTACAGTCCAACTAGCCTAATTAGGAAGTAGATGTCATTCAGTGGAAACACCAGGAATCACAGTATCTCTACCAACTGAGTCTTGCATTCCTATCTGGGTGCTCAACTAACAAAGGATTCAGGGGTTGAATCGGTCGTCAGATACTCCGCACCGTCAAGTCGGGCGGATTATAGTGTTTCCGTAACAAATATCTTCAGAATACGCTGGAGTCATGGAGGAATCGGTTTTCTACGATAGAAGCGAGGTTTTTGAAGGAGATGTGCTATTTTCGCGTTGCAGCGCGCCAAGAAGTCCCGAACGTTTTGCATACGCTAACCCTCTTCCCAGTGTTATCGAGCGCACGAACAATACCATCATAGCGCATGGCTGGCTCGATTTCTTAATGTTCATGAATGGCTCGCTGGTGACAGTACTGAATATGACCTGGAATGGTTTACAGGGTTTCCAGACACCACCGACTGAGCCATTGTATGTTCCCTACCACTATGGCTTGGATGAGGTGACGAACTCTACGATAGCCCCAAGACCATTTACGCTCGATGCTGGGGCTGGGCACTTGGGAATAGCCCACACTGAGCGAGGTTTAACATTCACGACCGTCTACTTGGCGGGGCATGGTGAGTTGGAGACTGATATACTCCTACAGGTGGCTTACCAATGTCGCAGAAATCCCTCGATATGCTCCAGGCGCAGCGTATCGTCAGCTTGAATTCTTCTGGGACGAATCCAGAGCCAATCCGAGCCGGGAGAGTACACAACCTAGCTATTAATGCAGCAGTTGGCAGGCAAAGCCGGGAGGAAGCCGGGAAGTTGTTTGACATTATAATGGATTTGGGCCACATCCGTGCTAAGTACAAGCAAATGCATCACCCCAAATTAATAACCCCATCCCTTCAAGTATTGGTCTTCCCAACGGTCAGCCTAGTGCTAACTTCATCTAACTGACAAAGGTTTTTGCTACACATATCAACGTTACTATATCATTTCTCATCAACGTCGTTCCGACTATCCATCTAAACCTAACACATTCAAGCAGGAGTGAGACACACATTTGTTCCGTTCCGGGAGGACAGGGTCAAGGTCAGCGATTCCTCCCATGGTCCTGTATCTCGACTCTCCAAGTTTCGGAACTCCTGGGCCATCCGGACAATTACATAGCTAACTTCGGTCAAAGCATATCGCTGGCCTATGCAGATGCGTGGGCCGCCATTAAAGGGTAGATATCCCCAGCGTGGCCGCAGTTTTCCATCCTCCCAGCGCTCTGGACGGAATTCTTCTGCGTCTAGTCCGTAGAAGTCTGTCCGTCGATGCATTGCGTATACGTTGTAGCACACTAAGGTACCTTTAGGCACGAAGACTGGTGAGAGACCATCCTTGCCTCCCCCGAGTGGTAGGATAGTATCTCGTACTGCCTCGCGTTCATTGCGTGGTACAACTGGATGTAAACGTAAAGCTAATAAAGTTCGTAAGGTCAAAGATTAAAGAGAAATAAGGCAGGAGAGAGCTTTCTCTTACATTCATTTATACAGCACTGGACATATCTAAGGTTGCGAAGCTCCTCATAAGTTGGTGCCCGACCCTGCAAACTAGCTACTTCTCTACGTAACTTGTCCCAAATTGCTGGATTCTTAGCCAGCACGAAGAACAAATTGCTGAGCAGACTAGCAGTAGTATCACGACCAGCTAACAAAATATTTATTAGCTCATCCAGAACGCGGTGCTTATCAGATGTCCGTGATGCCAACTCATGTGAAAATATATGCTTCTGGCGCTTCGTCCTAGTTTCTTGTTCTTCTTTGTCTTTCTCTTTAATCTCGACTGCGTGGAATGCTTCCTCGACAAAACGGTGGACAAACTCCCTGCAGATGCGATTGCACTCGTCGGCCTTCTGATTATAGTAGAACATGTTCAATGGGCCCAACGTGTCTCGTGTTATAATAGCCTTCTGGGCATAATGAAATGCTTGGGCAAAACCAAGCTCTGATTGAGTCTTCTTCAAAGTACTAATTGATTGTCCAAACAAGAACTCGGTCGCAGAATCAATAGTGTAGCGGAAAAAGAGATCCTGCAAGTCCACAACTGTCTTTCCGTCACGCGGGAGTAGTGAGAAGAGGTCCTGAATTAAATTCTCAAACGAAGTCAAGTCGGCTACTTGGTCACGGGTAAAGCTGGGCCGGATAAGGGCGCGCGATGAGGCCCAGTGGTCGCCGTCGGTGTCAAAGATCCCCTCCCCCAACAATGGTTTAAACGGTTTAAGGCGGTGGCTAATGCCGTAATCCTTGAATTTAAGTGACAGGATTGTCTTGATGTTTTCCGGCTCTATGGTTAATATTGCACATCTTTGCAGCTCCTTTGCTGTAAACGTGTTACCGTAGACACGGAAGTGCTCGCAACTTTTTTCAAGAATTCTGTGCTGTCTAAGAGCGCGGATAGTCCCGGGTATTGTATCAAGTCCCAAGAAAGGATCCTTATTAAAGGATCTCGCGACCGTTTGGCAACCGTGGCTGCGTGTAAACTGACAGCGGATAAAGAACCGCCTGATGGACACACACGCGATAGTTCCCAGCGCAGCGATCATTATAAACACAAGATTCGAATGGAAATCCAAATACATTTCCATGGCCATTGCATAGATAGCAACACCAAAAGGAACGTGTGAGGTAGGGTGAAACAGGCGGATTAAGATAGGGTGGGGGCGGAAGAAAGCACCAAGCTGTACAGCTTCACGCAACCAGTTGCCTAATATAAGGAACGATATATCATTGATATCCTAGACCATGATAACTACTATACTTCCATGGATGATTGTCTCGCGCTCTCTAGAATACAGGAAAGGTGTTAAGTACTCGGGGGTGTGAACCCCGCACGTTAGGCAACCACATGTCGAATATACGGCTAGTCCCGAAGAGGAAATAGAGTACGATTGGTAAAGAGGTCTTGTTTGAATGAATTGAGCTGGTTGGGCTCTTCTTGATTATCCTTCTTGGTTATTCTTGATCTATGATTTCGTTGTGTGCTCCGTGGGGGTTTTACCCCGATCTAGTTATATAATTCTGGTCCACCAACGGCCATATTATTTAACACACCACCTCAGATTCGAACCTTTCTTTCCATTTTCAGCAACCTTAAAGCTATTTAGGGTCGAATCTGATATTTATTTATATCCGTTCAGTGTTTCCATCAGTCCCTTTGATTCCAGAGATGTCCTAAAGTCCTAGCTGATCCACAAACGGCTTGAATTTCTGCCGTGGGAGTGCTTTAGTAAGTCCATCTGCCAGCATCTTGTCTGTTGGTGTGTAGCTAACTTGGATTCTTTCTTCCAGAGCTTCCTGCCTGAGCCAATAATTATGGAGATCCACGTGTCGAAGCCTTGTCTGAAGTCGGTTTATATCTTTATGTACAAGCCGGATTGTTTGGAGATTATCACAGAAGATTTGAATCTGTTGGTCCTCTCTCTTGTTTAGCTGAATCCCAAGCTCTGCAAGCAGTCTGCTGATGAATATTCCCTCTCCAGCTGCGTGGGACAACGCTAGAAGCTCTGCCTTAGTAGTTAAAGTAATTACTATTACCTGCTTGTTAGCTCATCCTACTACTCCTCCAAACAACTATATTATATATCCTTGCGAACTCTTTTAATCCTTTTTATTATTTGCAAACAAAGTATTACTATATAGGATGAAGTTATCTCCACCCCCTAGTTACAGCGCTAGGTTTTTTGTTTGTTTAAGGTATAAAAGGACGCGGTCAGCCGCAGCATGGTGTTCGTTGCTTGGATTAGTAAAAAAGCAGGATAATTTAGACACTGCAAAGGCTATATCTAGATGTGTAGGGACTGCTATATATATTAAAAAACTGTTTTTCTTTTAATATCTCTAAATACTTTGGTGTGTGGCTTGTCTTGTCACGGGCTAGTAGCCGATTCAACGAGAACGCGGCTCACATTGACAGAATATTTGCCTCAGGCCACATAAAGTTTATGTGGCCTGGGCATTTTTTATGTGGCCTGAGGCAAATATTCTGTCAATGTGAGCCGCGTTCTCGTATAAATCGATACCCAATACCCCCAAATGTGGGGGTTGGGTTGGAGGGTGCGTAGTTGTTCTTTGCTAAAGCTCAACTCTACGCCCTCTCTCTTAGATAGAAGAATATACTTACCACGCGATACTAGATTGCACGATAGTTTTAATATACTATCTAGTCACCGCTATCCTAGCACCTCACGACATAGCTTCTTCCCCGAGATTCTCAACAATATTTATTATATAAAATCACTGTACAGCACCTCTGTTACTACAAATATGCGAAATTATCTTAAAACAAAGTATTAAATCCTTATTAATCCTACTTTAAGCTCTCTATAACAATTAACTGTTAATTATTATTATTATTATTATTCTTCCATATTATAGAGCATTTTTCAGTCAGAGACTATGCATGCTCTACCTACCACCCCTGGGTGGTAGGATTTGAACTAACAAACAGATACGTACATAGTGGGTAAAATCAAACATAAATAAGCAGTATGACATTCTAGGAGTGGGGTGGACCTTATAAAAGGGGTTAACCATGTGAAATTCCAATTATTTATTTTGTTTTTGTTTTTGCTTTGTTTTTGGTTTCCCTAGGGGTCCAAGAGCCACTTTCTGGAAAAGCAGGTGGTATGGAGTTTGGGGTCTATTACTGTGGCACGATATGTATATATCGCTATTATAGTTAGGTATTTAAACTAGATAGGATCTAAAATAGCCGTGCCCTAGCTTTAGCTGGATAATTGTTAACCAGGTTTGCTTGGGGGGCTTTAGGGGGCTTGGCTTCCATGAAGCTGTGGACTTAAAGCCCCTGTATTAATCACTTTTCCTAGTGTTTTCCCATGCTTTATCCCTATCCTCAAGGCACTTTGCTTTAAGCTCTCGTTTAAGATAACTAACTGAGATAGGGTATTTATAATATTTATCTGTCTATTCTGCCCTATACTTGGCTGCCTCGTCAACTTTGTTATTGCCAAAGATTCCTTGATAGCCTGGAACCTAATAAATATAAATATAAATATTCTTATCCTTAATCCTAGTTGCCCATTTAAAGATTCTTTGGTGTGGTTTATAGATGGTGTCTGCTGATTGAAGCCTTTTTAGGGCTGCTTGGCTGTCCGAAAAGATGTAGATATCTAAATTTAGAATTTGAATAGTCTTAAATGCTTGTTTTAATGCTTTTTAAATAGCAAATAACTCCGCATCGTAGACCTTATATTCATGACCTAGATTCCATGCCCAAGCCTTTTGATTTTGAGGATTATTCTCTAGGAGGAAGATTCCTGCTCCGTTTTTTAACCACTCTGCAGCTGGGATCCATCTGAATAGAATGTTGGAAATCATGATGCCTAAGGCACCTTCGTATATCCTAGTCCCGCAGCTATGTGATATATCATATTCAGGGGCTAAGGGACACGTAGACATGAGGAAGCGTTTGTCTACGCTCTCTCTCCTAGATAGAAGAATATACTCACCATGCGATACTAGATCGCACCGATAGTTTCAATATACTATCCAGTCACCGCTATCCTAGCACCTCACGACATAGCTTCTTCCCCGAGATTCTCAACATTAAATAGGAAAGGTCCACTAATTCTGTTTTTAAAAGTAGTGGAAACAAACACCTATTAGTATAGGAATTTTTTAATAGTAAGGTAAGTAAGAAATTCTATTACTTATACTAGGATAGGGACAGAACTCGAGGTGATTTATAGAATTAATTTAACCAGCTTGCTAAGATTTATACTAGAAAGCCTGTTCTTTAATACTATACATGTTAGAGTATTATTTAACATGGGGTTTACTATAATAATAAAATATCTGGGATAAACAAGTATTTTAAAAGCAGGGAGTGTAAAAATAAACAAAGCCCTAATTTATAGTAATTAATAATTATAGTAAGTATAACCTATTATTTAGTAATAGTATTTAGTAATAGTTTTAGTGGGAAATATATAATTAGAGAAAAGGCCTTACTTACAGATTTTATATAATACTTCTGTGATTCCTCCAAAGACTAATAATAATATTATTAAGCAGATTTTTAAAATATTTCTTGCGCTAAATATACCCTTTTTGTAGCGGGCAGGGCCCGCAAAGTGCTCGAGCCCGTATACCGGGCACTCGCGAGGTCGTTTAGAACTCTCCCGATCACGTGATCTCGTTTACCTCGCACACACATTTACATGTTCGGCCGCCGCGGCCGCAGATAGAAGCTCTTCAGCGAGTTCTTTTTAGTCCAAATCTATTATATAGGTTGAACCGGCTACTAGCCCGTGACACTTTTGAGCTATTAAAAGCCCTAAATTAATTAGTTTTTCTCTATTTTCTTAATCTAATAATTAATATTCCTCGCCGACAAAACTCTGAAAGCTTCTGGATAGCAAGTTTAAAACAGTTTAAAATAAGCTCCTAGTAGAATATCCATGTTAACAAAAAATATCCTTAATACTAGATGCATGGACAAGTCTAAATTATTTTTTTATTTCTAGGAGTTATTACTTCCTATATAAATTCTTAGTGGAAGTATAAGAAGGCTTTTATTAGGTTTAAGCCTTTAACTGGTATTCATAATGGTTCTTCTTTTACTAAAATTATTTTTTAAATTCTGAAGTCTGTCAAGGGCTAAACCTCTATAACCTAATAACTAGGGTGGATACAAAAGGAATCGTCGAAGAGGAAAGAGAAGAGGAAACAGCGATGAGACGATTGCGAAGTAAGGGGGGGAAGTCACATGATAGAGTGTACTAATCAATATACTAATCATGTGGCAGGCGAGGAGAAAGGAAACACGAGGGCTGAGGGCCCGAGTAGGCTGAGGGGCTCTAGCCCCTTACACTACTCCCCCTTCCCTATATAAGGCCTCCGAAGGAGGCCTAATAGCGAGGCGGGTTGCTGGCGCGGGCTGTAAGCTTTTTTCGGAGGTTTCTCGGAAGTATCAGACAAAGTAGAGCGGGCATCGCAGTCTGCGATCCAATGATCATTAGAACCGCAGTAAAGGCATAAATTATTCGCAAGTCGGAAACGGCGGCGGTCAGAGGTGGTGGATTCATGAGAAGAATCAGATAAAACAGGCGAAGCAGCTCGGGCTACTCTCACAGAGCCAACATGAACAGGATTGGGGTTTATTTTAACTGAGTTGACTCGGACCGGATCAGTATCCATTGGGTCTGTATTCGGGGTCAAAGCTGGTTTCGGGGCTGATTTTGGACTAGGACGGGTACGCCGATCGGTACTCTGGACAAGTTCAATATATTCATTATAGGGAAGATCAAAGAGAGAATTATTCGAGTCTTCTAGTATTCGACGGAGATTAGGCCGTAGCCCCGGTGTAGCGTGGTAACACGTGATATATCTGGCCATGAGTTTACATTGGCTTCATATGAAAGTCGTTCAAAACGAGCAAGGTAGGCGATAAGCGATTCGTCATCCCTCTGTTGTATAGAAGTAAAGCGCTGAATAGCCTCCTGCTGTTCCCGTGGGTTATGGCATAGACGCTGAAAAAAGAGAAAATAACTTCAGGATCCCATAGCTGGTTTTCTTCGGCAGATTGGCGGAGGTGCAGGACAGAAGCTTGCTGAGACTGTTCTAGTCGATC